GACTCAGTATAAAATAATTGATCATTTCAACCGCATCGTTTACCTGAAAAAAATTGAATTATCGTTCTAGGCTCTTTTACATTACTTCCAACGCAAGTGAACCCAATTTTTTTTTCTTCCAGCTATTGTCAACAGACGAAAAAACACCTCACTATGATACGAAGGCTTGCTTGTAATCCTCTCCGTGGTAACGGCATAGAAAAGGCTTTAACAAAATCTAAAGTAGGAGCCGTTACGGAAGCACGACGCCATTTGGAGCCGATGAGTGTGTGGTATTTAGCCTCATGGACCTGCTGCTGGTGGTATTGCTTTTTCTTTTGGTTCCCTGTGCTTTGGGTGGATATGTTTATGCCTTCGTTTGTGTACAACAAGCTACCTTTAATCCATTTCATTCAGGAGAAGCGTTCGGAACAGAAGTTACGACGTGTTCTAGATGAGACCTACACGGAATGGACCACCGAAATCGAGCCGTCAGCCCTAACGGAGGCGATTTCTCGTACTTTCTAGAGAAACAGGGATATTGCAAATATAGTGTCCTATCCTTTGCTTTTTTAAATATCTCCTTCTTTCAGGAGGGAGGGATAATGTGCGACTCTTGAGTTTATAGGTATTATTGGAAACACACATACACATTTGAGGATTTTTCAAGCATATTTTATAGGTAGCTGTACATGTAGTGTCTAGTTATGAGTAGGAATTTATATAAAATAGGTATAATTGATCGCATATTTTTAATCAAAAATGATATAAACGGCATGCAATGTTCCATTGGTTTTGTCTGCTCTTTTTTTCCTGATTTGCATGTTCCCCAAAGTAGCTAGCAAATATATACTTGTTGTATTAGTTTCTTGCTTTGCAGCAGTTGAAAAATACGTTTGAGCAAACATTTATTTCACAAGTATCTGCATGCAAAATATCTTACTAATTGTGTATTAGTTTCAGCCACAATTTCAGTCACTAGCGCAATAAACGGGCAGGAAACTTTTGTGTGCATTAGTTTATTTCGAATAGTGTAATGACTAATCAGCACCCAAGGGACTCTTCTCAGACCCAGTTGACGGGCAATCTTTTAGAACATTCACAGAGCCAGACTCCTAGAGCTTCCTCGCCATTGCTCCAACGTATTGACAGAATTCAGTATGGTATCAAAGCCACACTTGACGGCATCGGTAAGGATTGGCTAAATGTCCAACCTTGTGTCCTTCAAGGTTTCAATAACTTGGTGGAACTCGTCCAGAACCATGAGAAGCGTTTGTGTAAGGTTGATGATGAGATTGACAAGATGCGTCAAACAGTGCAAATTCTCATTAATGATAGACTTCTAAAAGAAGAGCGTTACCAGTTGGACTGTGCCGTGCAGAGCGAGGCCGTGACGGCCTTGGAGAAACTCACTCAGCGGCTGCGTCTTACACTGGAGGGTGAGAGGAAGTCTCGCCGTGAGCTCCAGCATGAGGTGCAGCGGCTCCAGCGTGACATCCAAAAATTAGAAAAAGAATGTCACCTTCAACTCTCTAATGATTCAAAAACTTTAAGTAGGGCTCAAGTCACAGAGACTCTGAACGAGCAGCCAGAACACAGTTCGCAGGAACTACATGAGAATCTTATGCGAGAGATTCACTTACTGCGCATGCAATGGGAAAACTATCGGCTAGAGCGGCAAGAGTCGCCGCCTGAGCACTTCAATAAGCAGGGCGTCTTCCCGAGAGTTTCTGATAACAATTGTTGTGTTTCCCTAGGACAATACAGAAAATTACCCTTTCCACCGCAATCCGCGCGCTGGTTCTGGATGGGAGACGGGAGTAGTCACTTTAGTACGGCTCTTTCACACAGCGACGGCGCTGCCGGCAAGTCCATTAGTCCGCCAATTCCATGGGAAGAGGTACGATTGTACGATCCGGTAACGACGTGTTGGTACTTTACTCGTTCTTGTCTGCACCAGGACACGGAATTCACCTCCCAGAATGGATTGGGACGGGCTTTCCCTGCCAATTCCGCCCTTCACCCTTATGCTGATGCGCATGCTAATGGCACACGGCGCACGAACCTTTATAGATCTCTTTGCGACGAGCAAGGTACTAAGAGAGAAATAATAGGAGGGACACCTGTAGGGACTGAAGCGATGGATCAATGGAATTGCTTTGACTGGGTGCGACCAAGAAGCATTCGTATCAAGCGGTCAGGCATTTACAAGTACACAACCTGTTTGCTCCGAGACACTAATTCCAGCTCCCCCTTTAGTGGTGGCGTTGGTACTGCTGGAGAGAGCCTTAATAATGAATTGCTCGTACTCTATGTCAATCACCGTTGCGTCGCTAATCTTGAGGCCAACAACAGCTGCGTTTTGTTGCATGCAAACACCACAGCCAATACATCCTCAACGGGAGCACGCCGCTCAACACTTCCCGGCCGGCGTCAAGCGCGCTCCCTAAGTACTCAGCGGCGGTTATCATCTGAAAGATTTACAAGACAGTGCTGCGAACCTGATCAGCTTGCTACAAGCACTCTATCAAATTACATTTTTTTGCCCGAGGGTGCTATTGTGCAGGTGCGGTGCCATAACATGCACAACACTAAAACCATCTATGAGGCATTTCTTGAATTAGAGTATATTGTGTAGATTATAAGATTGATGAATAAACGAAAGGATTAGTTGTTTTATTTCTCTGTCATGCAAACAAGACACACTGATTTTGCAAGACCTAATTAATACATAGGGTCTCTTTTACCGAGCACTAGTATTACTATTACCCATCATGATCTTTATTTGACGGTGTGTGAAGGTTTGAAGTGGGCGAGAAGGACAAATCCATTCTTTCATTGCATCCCTATCGTGAAAAGGAACCCGATAGAAAGGTAACTCATACAACCACACGCGTATTATTTTTATTTGAAATTTTATATTTCACTATTTTAGGTTATCGTATTCTACCCTAATACAACAAACGCTGACTAGATGGGTCAGGGTTCAATAGGTTTAGTGCGAGACACTATCACTGCAGAGCAGTTTCTCAAGTATCAGGAGGCTAATCATCGTATGGTCCATCGAGCCTTTCAGAAATGTGTTGCTCCCACTTCCAAGGGCAGGGTTGACATCTTTGACTTAGCGGATGAGGAGCGGAATTGTGTAGAAGAGTTTGCATTGCTATACGCTGCATTTGCTAAGAAAAGTTTTTTGCATTTCAATAGCCTATATGAGCAGCATCAGAGGGATATGTACGAGAAAGCCAGATTAGAATATATGCAACAGCAGGCGCGCCAGGATCTCAAGAAATAATAAATGCAGCAAGAAGGGTAGCATAATTTTTTACAAATTTAATTGTAAAATTTGCTAATGGTGCTCACCTATGGAATTATCGTTGCGCAATGCTTTCGCACAACGAACAACTCCGCCGTTGAATTTGTTATGTTGGGCAATTGGGGTTGTGGAAAGCTGCGTATCGTTTCAAATAATGAATCCAAATAAACAGATGAAAATACACCACAAGTTGTTATGGTAGTATTCACTTTAATATACGTGTTTGTTGAGTAGCATAACGACAGACGATTCTAAAGCACGTACTATCAAAAGTGAGATTCACTTTTCTGACTAAAATAAAGGAATTTTGGTTCGCTGTGATCATGGGAGTCAAAAAGGTGAAGTCAGCATTATTTTTTTTCTTATTTTCTATTCTTAGTCATCTATAGCTATTGTGTGTAGTTTATAAAGAAAGGGTCACTTAACTTTTACTGTGGTATACCCCCCCCTAGATACATAACCATATTTTTTCTCGAAGCTCTCATTTTTTTTTCATAGAATTGGCTTGGCGTCAGATTATATTCCCATTTTTTGACTTAATTTTGCTGTTGTAGTTATTTATTTTCTCTAAATTAGTTATTGCTTTTTGAGCGCTTTGTGCTTTACGATGGCATTAGAAAATCAAGGGCTACTAAAGTTGGGTCAGATTCAGGGCCATCGTCAAGAGGATTGTGTTTCTGGGTGCAACCCCCTCACTGCTCCGCTTGTGAGATCAGACTACTTGCCCAAAATAGATCCACTCGATAGTCGTAGCACTAACCCTGATCCCATGTGTGTTCTGGATATTGACGGCAGCAATGAAATCAACACAACAGGCAATATCCATCACACTGATTCCACGGATTGTCATCAGACAAAGAATAACTGTAGTCGCATATCTCAATGCATGCCCACTTTTACTTTCCCGCAGCGAGTTGGAAATCGCCCCGCAGGTCATCCACTTGCGGGAAAAAGCGACTCACAGAAGCACAACATTCCTGATACGCACGGTGAGTCCCCGTTGTTCTCGATTCCACCAACACCCACCAAACAGCGTCGCACCGTGCATCCGAGGAAAGGTGAAGCTCGGCTGGCGTCTACTTTGACAAGGGTACCCTGGACACGCCCTTCAAATCAGGCAAGATGGAACAGTTGTGCAAGCAGTGTAGACAAGGAATGTGGGCAGCAACAACTATTCGTGGGGCTGAATACAGCTGGATGCGATAGTGCCAACAAGTACTTACGCAATGAAATCAGCCGTAAGCGTTCTGCTGGGGTGCTTTCCCAGTTTAGTGCACTGGAAATAGATGAAACAGCGGTAGGGTCGCCTTATGCGACGCAGCAGTTACCTTTAGCTCCCTCAGCGAATCGGCATCTTAATTTCACTCACCTTTCACAGCCTTCACAAGGGCTTGCGATGCCAGGGCCTGCGTCCCCAGCAGGTTATGCTACCCCGACGGTTCTTTCGCAGCGCGTTGATGCGTTCCATGCGGGTGGCAGCTTTAGTCAGATGCTCGTGCGTCCCTCGGCTGAGGCTTGGGAAAGCAACTCGCAGGTGGATGCCGAGTGTTCGAATGTGCTGGCTCGGGGTATTCTAACTGACTATTGCGAGCTGCAGGAGTTGGGCCACGGTTCCTTCGGCAGGGTCGCTCTCTACGAGGAGGTCAGCACAGGTAAACTCGTTGCCATCAAGGTGTTCCTACCTTTAAACGGAAGAAGCGATCAGGAGCAGCGCTATCGCCGAGAGAGGATGATAATGGAACAGGTGCGTGGCATGCCTCACATTGTTCAGCTTGGCGCCGCCTGGGAAGAGGGACGCATACCCCAGATGTACCTTCAGCTTGAATACTGCCCTGGTGGCTCCGTCGCCGCTATCGCGGAAAAGAAACGCGCTCGGCACGAGGCCTGGGAGGAGAGCGAGGTCCTAGTGTTCTTGCTGCACATGGCGATTGCTCTCGACGCGCTACATCGTGCCAACATTGCGCATGTTGACTTCAAGCCGGATAACGTGCTTGTTGACGTCTATGGAGGGTACAAGCTTTCTGATTTTGGTTGCAGCGTTCTCTTGGATACTGCAGGACGCCCTCGGCGTGTTAGCGAGATTCCTCCTGTGGCTGCTGGAACGAACAACAACGGTACCGGGTCAACTGCACGATGCGTATTTAAGGATAGCTTCTGCAACAACAACGTTACCAGCCCCGGCCGAACCAATGCCGATCTCGCATTGATGGAGAACACTCAACTAAGTGTGGCAAGCGTTGACGAGGGGGACTGTCGCTACCTTTGCTCAGACATGCTCAACCAGAAGCGCTTTTTCAAAGCAGGCGACATGTTTTCTTTAGGAATGTCGCTGTACGAGCTGATGTCTGGGCAGCCCTTGCCACGCAACGGTGAGGCTTTCATGGCACTGCGGCGCAATGTCCCTGTCCAAATGCTTCTGCAGCGCGGCTACTCGGAGCGGTTGTTGCATTTGGTTGTAGCGCTTCTGCAGGAAGAGCCTACGGCTAGACCAACCGCACGTCAGGTCCTCAACGCTGTGCGCCCCCCACTCGACGCATTACAGGCTGTAGCAGACGAAAGCATTATGGCACGCTGGACGAGTACTGGTGAATCGTTGAAGAGCTGCATCGATGACACATCCGGAGGGGATGGGGCCACCTCCGCGCCACAGCTTACGCTACAGCGACTACGATACTTGAGCGCAACAATAGAAGCGACTAGCTGGATGCTGAATACGGCACACCAGGACTACATGTCCACATGCGGATTGGTACCGCCTGCATGTGTTACTAGCCGTGGCGGCGGCCGGGCAAGCGGGAATCCCTGCAACGGGGTCTCTATGCATAGCAGCAAAGTCCTCCTAGACATTCACTCCTTGCGAGAGGATGCATGCACGCCAACAAATATACCCGGTGGCTTCAATTGGCATATATAATCGTGTCGCTTGTTTAATTCGTTTATTGTCACTTTTTTCACCTTTTTTTTTGTCGCTTCATAGATTGCTTACTATCTTCACGGTTTCTTTTTACCATTATTGCGTTACACACGTATACTATTAAGAGTGAAATCAGACACGTGCCAGGGACGTATTGCGCTTTATTTGGCTACTTCATGTGCATATACTCCCAAATTTCGCAGGTACAAATAAGATAGTGTCCGAATAGATTTGTACAAAATATCGAGGTTTATTTTCATCTTTATAGCTTTTTGTCTGTGTCAAAGCATAATATGCTTGGTTTGGAAAGCACTAAGATTTCTTGGCGGCATATCAAGCCGTTTGACTTTTTCAAACAGAATGTGCGCTTGTGTTTACCTTCAGAACACATTGGTATGATTTTACCTATTTTTCTTTTACCTTTGACGTCTGGATTGCGGATAAATTAACTTCTAATTTTACAATATTGAATGAAGCAATTTCTAGACCGCTTTTCCTGATTTCTCTAATGCTTATATCTATATTACTTGAAGCTCATATTTTTCTAATAATTAGTGCTTATCCAATAGTGTTATGAAAAACATGCTTGCAGGCACCAAAGGCTGCGATGCTGGAGCTGGACCCCTACAGATTCGGAAGAAAATGGCAGAATGACCAGTATACTTTAAAGCGAAACTCATGAAATAAGTGGTAAATCGCTTCAATTTTATCCTCTGCTCAGGTCGGCTGGTGCCATGAATGATTTTATCGCCTGCTCCACCACTGCCCGTCAATGCTAAGTTCAGGAGCAGCGGTGGGGGGCGGTATATGAAACGAAAGGATATCGGAACAGTATATCCTCGGAGGTGATGGCAACCAAAGCCACCGAATATGCTGGTGGAGGTGTGCTCGAGCTTTCATCCCTGTTAATATCAGAAAGGGGCCACACAGTATTGCTTTGTTTGCTTTTCTATTCATTGCACTGTGTACGTTGTTCGATTCGCATGGGAAGGCTGAACAGCTTAAAACCACTTCGGTGCTTGAACATGGTCTCCACATCCTCACCGTGAAGGTGCGAACTCCTTAAGAGGTTGAAAAGGGCTCTCATCAGCAAGATGTGTACTTACCGCCGATTGATCTGTTTTCTATGGCCACGGATTGGCATAGTTGCTCACGCACGAGGAGCGAAACTCCCATTGTATTGCAGTTCACAGCTAGGGCTCGGGGAAAGACTACCGGGTGTTTCCCACGAAAATGCTTTCATTGTTGGTGCGCGGATCGGCCACAGTGTTCTCAATATCAAAACTATCGTCCCATGCCGTTCTAATGATTACCACTCTCAGATTGTTGAGGAGGCTTCTCAAATCATGGGGCATGGTCCAAACTAGGGATACACCACGGATAGTCGGACCATATGCAATAATTACTCGGGACAAACTCTTTTAGTTTGTCGTTATTTTTTGTTGATTGTTTGTCATCTCTTTCCTTGCTTGTTGCTAACACAAGGCGATAGAATGTGCATAGGGATCTATTTTGCAATTCAGAGCTCTATCAATGAGTTTCATTTTTTCTAAAGAAAAACAAGAAATTTGTAAGAACTTATCGGTAATAATAGGGGGTAAATGGTTGTATGGCTTATCTTTGAGGAGGGGGGAAATTCTGACCCCCTTCCCTCCTAACCAGAAACAAAAATGTGATTGAGGAACCAAGGAAACTCTGCACGTGTTCTTTTACTCCTACGTTGAGTAAACACATGCATGCGCATGCGCCTTCAGTTGAATCGTTACATGCCAACCAACAGGACCTTGTCTCAAAACTTGATTTAATGAGGATCTAAAAAACAAGATCAATCCCAAGACTATGTTGATACTGGTTTCGAATATTGATTCACGAGTATAGGTGCAAGAACTCACCACGAGTATCTATTTTTACTTTCAATTATTGCGTTGCACTAAACCCATGAGGTTGAGCATATAGAGAAATCAATATTCGTATAAACATGAAAATTTTATAATAAATCGTGAGAAAAGCTCAGAAATATGTGAAGATAATAGAAAATGATCGGTACAAGGTATTTTTCGCCAACAGTCGTTTTGTTGTATAGACATAAACGTATTTTCCATTTAAAATATTTAGCTTGACTAGCTCATTAGCCTACCCCCAAAGAGTGAAAAAATATCGTGTAGATATAATAACTATTTTTTCTTTTTGAAGCTCTTTGACCGTAAAACATCCTCCGTACATTATAATCATATATCGAATGTCTAAAGACTACGATATACTCCGAGCCGTTCAGCTTCTCCAATCGCCCACCACTGCGGACGCCGCGAGCAGGGAGAGGGCCGCATCCTTGCTCTTGGACAATGCGTCCTTGGTGTTGAAGCAACACACAGAGGGCCTAAACCAGGAGCCGTTGCTGCGCCACATCGTCAAAGTCTTGTCCGCCGAATCCACCTCGATGTCGCAGTCAAAGTGGGATATGATTCTCGAGCTAATGTGTTCCCTGTTGGAGACTCCTGTATGGACCCCACCCCCAGCCGGCTTCCCAGACAGTGTGGAGACTGCTCCAAAAAGGGAACAACCACAAGGGGCGCTTCCAGCTACACCGACGACTTCCTTCTCCTGGGCCTTTCGCGCCTTTATTCTGAAGTGCCTGCCATGCATGGTGCCACAAACAACATCGACCACCAACTCCATTACTGACGCTGATCATGCTTCTGCATCGCTCGCGCCCATGATGACTAGACAGGGCAAGGCAGTGTGTGATGTTTTATTGAGCTACAGTATCGTAAGCCAAGAGCAAGACGATTCCGCAAAGCAGATGACTCGCGTAGCCCATAGCAGCCTTTTGGCTCTGCCGCCCCCACTTCTCCCGCATGTCGCGCACGAGTTGATTTCTCGATTGCCGCGATCACGAGATGCGTGTTTGGCTATAATCCAAAATCCATCCGCAACAGACCCCTTGTTGTGTGGATTTGAGGAAGCACTTTTGGAGATGCCGGGTACCTCAAATAGCGCAATAACTGCAGTAGAGGAAAAGGACAGTACCACAGAACTTAGCAGCACTGCAGATTTAGTAAGGGACAGCGTCAAAAGAACCTTACAACGACACTACAAGTCATGCGGGATGGTGAGCACCAACCGCCTGTGCAATGCGCTCATTCAGCGAAGCCTACCAAAAACCCAGGAAGAGATGGAAAGCTATCGAACCCAGACTGTGCGACCTTTGATTGAGCTTGGGGAGGCCTGCGAGAGAAGGGAACCATCTTTGCAGATATCAGCACACCTTGTCGGTATCCAACAGCGCATACCCCTGCCGTTTCTCTGTGAAATCCTTGGATATTTATACCGGCAGTACGAATCCGCTATAGATGTCTTCCCTTATCCAGATAAGGGATACGAAACCGCTTTGCTCAACCTGGCGCGGGATCTGGCGCAACTAAGTTTGATTGCCGTGTCTAACTCAGAGCTTCCGGAGGGCGCTGTGAATCAGCTTGCTGCTGTATTGATGCCTAAGACACAGAAGCAAGAGTCTCCAGCAGTGGTAACTGATGGTGACGTGTTTCTTATGGAGAGGGGGTTCGTTGACAGGATCCCTTTGCCCCTAATGGAGTGCGTACTACTACTATTATATCAAGTGATCCCATATCGTTCGTTGAAGAGATTTCGCGAGCCGAACGAGGAAGCCAACAGTGGTGGGGAGGAAAAAGAGCACAACGAAGACGTCTGCGTACGGTGTGCTCGATTTCTTAAAAAAGTCGTGCTACCTGAGATCGAAGACGTTGCCTTTCGAGTATCTGCTGTGATCAATGGAAAAGATAATGGGGCCACAAAGCTTCCAAAGGAGTCTAGCCTCGCGGATACACTAGCAGACTCGCAAATTGAGCAAGGGCAATGCAGCAACGCCAAGACAACAGAAGAAGTGTCGGGTGATTGCGACCGTAGGGAAGAGCAACTTGATGTCATGAATACAGAATTACGTGGACAACTGACCATTTTGAATAGTATTGCAGGATTCTGTGAAAAAATATGGCATCAAACGCAACACCACCCGCGAGACAGATTTGCAAGGAGAGGAAATGCGCTGCGCGGTCGACTGTCGCATGCACTGCCATCGTGGATGCTTAATCCGGTGGTCTATGGTGCCCCACGTGATGTCAATGAGAGAATCAAAAAGCGAGCGCGATTCAACGGATATGATTCTCCACGAAAAATGAAGCGGTGAGCATAACGTGAGCCTCTGTGGCAGTGTCCATGGTGGTTAGGGGCCTGTGGTGGGTAGCATAAGGTTGGGAGGGGCAACTTGCAAAAACTACAATTGTGTGTGTGTGTATGTGTTTGGAGAGTGGCCAGTGAGGATCCCTGTCTCTCTACCTTTTATATTTTGCTTGGAGGAGACGTGATGGAAACAATTAGTAAACTACCCAAATATCACCATCACAAATCAGCAGATATGGATATTTAATTTATTTTCAAGAACGATTAAATATAAATATAGGCGCATTGTTTGTAATATGATATTTGAGACGAGATAATTAAAAGCAACACAGGGGAACATTATTGCTATAATATTAAAAGCGGGCCCGCTTAGGGCCTTGATAGGGGAAAGGTGAGATTGATAACAAAAGAATTCGTATTTTGTTTAGCTCCACTTTGATTATTCGTATAACGCATACAATTTCAGAGCAAAGGGTATTTATATTTCGTGTTTATTATTTCTTTTTCAAGTGCTCTGCGTACCTCTTGCCAAGCGCCAAGTATTCTCCCATTGTGAGGAACACATTCTTTGCATCTGTGCTCATGCATTCTTTCAAATACCCATCCAAAGAGGGGAACTCCCTGAATGCATCATAGCCGTTTGTTAGTTCAGGTGTGAATGCCTTCAAGCGCACCAGGAAGGGTAGGAGTGCAACGTCGCAAACATTCATTGTGCTCCCTCCAAGGAAGGGTCCAGCACCAAACATCTTCACATCGAATTGATTTTGAATCTTTTCGAGTGCGCTCACCAGCTGCTTCCTGACTTCCAAGTTTGTGGGGTTGGCACTGAGGATGTAGATTGAGGGGATAAGTTCATCGACCGCCCGGAGGAAGCAGGAGACGGCGTACTCCTTGTCTGCATCCCCGATGGGCAGGAGGGGATGGTTTCCATTGGTGTCAGGTGCCTCTCTGTCTAAGTAGTTGACAATGAGCAGCGACTCGTGAATGTACTGCCCGTCCCTGGTGAGAAGTGTCGGCACGGTCCCGCGGGGGTTGATGTAACTGTACCATGGCGGTGTGTTTGACAAATCAACTTCGACATGGAAAACGGGGACCTTCCGCAGCACACACGCCAGTCGGACGCGATCCACAAAGGGGCAAAGCGTGCTGCCATACAGCACCAGGCCACCATTAGCCTTGGCAAGCTGGATATTTTGAGGCAACATGTGTTGATAATGGGCAATGTACTCATATGGCGGTAAGGTGTTCAGCTTTACAGACGCGCGCTCCCGTCCAGCTGCCCATATTTTCTTCAAGTGTGGCGCCTTCTCAAAGATATCAAAGGCACTGTAGTAGGACAGGATACTTTTGAAACGTATCAGAAATGGCAGCAACATAATGTCGGCAGCTGTGAACTTGTCGTCGCAGTAGTAGTCGCCACCCTTTTCTTGTGTTTCCTTGACGATATTATCCAGGTAAACGATGTTCTCCATGAGGGATTTGCGCTTCTCCTCATTATACGAATCGTAAAGGAGTTCGTGAGCAGCCGAGATAAAATAGCCCATCTGACTCAAGAAGAATTCAATGCGATGCCGCTGAAACGGTGTGCCGCCCATAAGCGCACCCTTGGGCTCCGTAATGTTGTCAATATATTTTAAAATGTCTTCAGATTCAAGCACAACCTTGTTATCGACCTGCAGAAGCGGGACGGTTTCATTTGGGTTAAGGGCCACATACCAGTCTGGGATATTATCCTTTGGGATAATGATGGTTTCGATACTCAGCTTCTTTTCGGACGCCGCGATTTGAACGCGTTCGCAAAAAGGACACGCAACAAACGTGTAGAGTTTTAGTAGACGCCTTGCTGACATCACTGGAATTGAGTATATATGTGAAGTATCTTTTCGAGAGTTTAAGAACAAATATTTTTATTTTCCTTGTAATGAAGCTAGTAATAGGGTGAAAATGTTGACAGGGGAAGGGTATCACATAACAAATGAGATTCCTCCTCTATCACTCGTCGTACGCATGTACACGCACTTGCTTCTTAACTTGCAAGCTAAATGGCATCTTCAGGCTGCTAACCATTATGATTTGAGAGTTATTAAAGATACACAGGTGGCGTAACCCGAATTAGAGCACAAACACGCACACAGATGCAAAAGAAATAGAAAGTCATACAAACGTGTACAAGATCTGCCCTTCATAAATTCCATCACAACTATTTCTAGGGCAAAATGTGAGTCATGTTACAGAAAATAAATTGTTTTTATCCATCAGTTAATGTGTTTCGTGAAAAAACATTGATGTGCGGAACAGATGCTAATGTGAGTGCACCTATACCGTTTGGTATACTTTGCTTGCTTGTGGCCAAACATTTGCTCTCGCCCTTAAAATCCAATCCATGCGAAGTTGACAATTCATCATTAAAGATACATATTCGTACTTTCGAATTGACACACCTTTTATTTCCTGCTTACATAAGGGAGAAGATTGCCGAGACATTCTTAGGTTACAGGTATGACTCCAAGTCTTTCAGGTCCTTGACTTCTTCAATAGACAAGCTCGCCACACACGCACCCTTCTCAATTACCAGAACCCGATCACACAGGGACATGATTGTTTCCAACCTGTGCGCAATGAGGAGGACACCACATGGTTCGCATTTGAGACCATTCTCGCCCAAGCTTGGTTTCTTTTGGTTCCAAACTTGCGTGGTAGTCTGAGGGAGTTCATTGTCGTAGCGACACAACATCTCTTCTTTGATGACTTTTTGAATCAACATATCTGTTCGGGAGTCTACACGGGAGCTCACTTCGTCCAACAAAATCACCCTCGGACGGTGCAGCAACGCCCGCGCGAGGCACAGCAGCTGCCGCTGACCCGCAGACAAATTGCTTCCACCAACCGTGATGTTATGTTCCAGGATAGACGACACCGGAGAGGCAGGGATCGTGGGTGCCTCTTCTGAGACCACTGCGGTGTCCATTCCGCTATGCTCTTGGCAGGGGGATCCCGTCGGAAATGGCACTGTGGGGGACGAGACAAGAATCTCATCGAGGGACAACTTTCTGATGACATCGCCGAGCCGCTCGTTCCACAACGCCGTGTGTTGCTGCGACGGCAGCGTGGTGTCTTTCTGGACTCTGTCCTCACTACCCATGGTTGCCGTCCGCGTTACCTGATGGGCACCACCCTCAACGGCTTCTTCTAGCCCAAGAAGCAGGTTGGTGCCACAGGTGCCCTGAATCAACAGCGGTTCTTGAGAGACGAGATGGAAGAAGGATCTGCGGAGACAAATCGGTGACATGTGAAATGCATTGCGTATCTGACATTTTTTTTGCTCCTTTCTTTGGGCATGGTCATGACGCAACAACTCTCCGTCTGCAGCCCCCTCCCCTCCTGAGACATGCGCGGGTGTCCGCATGTCGGAGTCGCCATTTTCTGAGAGTGGCACTTGAATCAGCACCTCGCCGCGTATCACATCCATGAGTTGCAACAGGGCATTGAAGATTGATGATTTACCATTCCCTGTCCGCCCAATAAGCCCCACACACTCGCCAGGATGCACAGTGAAACTCACATCGTGTAGGACCCATGGCAGGTCTGGCTGGTATTTGGCCGAAAGATGTCGAACGTCTAGCAATGGCGCGCTTGATGATTGTGGCCCGGTCTTTGCGGCGCCTGAAGAATCCTTCAAAGGCTTTGTGTTGTCGCAACCTTCAGTTTCTAATGCCGTGATTGAACAGGGTACCCCTGACTCAGTTGGAGACCCCGAAAGTGTAGCGTGTTCTTTCACACCATCGCCACCCTGGGATGCGTTTTTCACGTCAATCTCCAGATCGTAGCACCCAACTTCCTCGGGAGTATCACGCTCTATCCGTAGCAGTTGTTCCGCGCTCACATATTGGTTCTGGAACATTCCAATCCGTCGGCACAAGAGAAGCAAAGAACGGTTGCTAGACATGCAGGCAGTGATTCCAAGACCTGCGTACGCAGCGGCTGCTGAGACCTTGCCCATACCCACCTTGTCACGGCTTGTGTTCCGTGCGAAACATGTGGTACACACGGCAAGCACAGCGATCGTCATCGTCATGAAAAGTGACACCCATTCGAGACGGATCCCAACCCAGCGATCGGCGGCAAGAGCGACGCTGTTTGCTGTACAAACTGCATCCAATGCTTCTGTCATTTCAGTCTCTATACTAGCGATATACGCCTGGCCTAAGGAGCGAATGGTAACAGCGCCCTTCAAAGATTCCCTCAAAATGTTTACACAGTTGCCATGCAGCTTATTTTCGAGCAGGCGCACTTGCTTTGTCAGTAGGAAAAAGCGAAATGTTAAGTGGTAAAATAGGAGGACTGATAGAGGGACAACAGTGATAAAGATACTATGTTGGACTGTGTTGAAGGCAATCATCGCTACGAAGTGCAGAATTGTGAAGAAAATGAGCTGTACCGATTCACCAAGGCTGTGATCGACAACTTCTTGGTCACGGCTGAGCACATGTAGCAGCCCACCCACGGAGACGCGATCAAAGTAGGATACAGGTGCACGCAAGAGGCGCCGTACCGCGCGCAGCTGCAACGTATCACTAATGGTTTGGTAGGTCAGAAAGAAGACACGCATGTATAGGAAGGAGGAGAAGGCCGTAAGGAGACCAATCACTGAAAATGAGACTAGAAACTGAAGCACACTCGCATTCTGTGAATCCACGAAATAGTAGTATAACCACCACCAGATGCCTTTTAAACTTATGAGCACCCGGAGAACCACCGTGTTACCGAACGACAACCCCAACCCCTCAATATAGGGCAATGACGGAGATTGGTTAAGACGCGCGGACCAGGACCGCCCCATGCCACCACCGTTGTCTGGACGCAAAAGCTCGCTATACGGAACATGACGACCCTTAAAAAATCTGATCGGTAGACCAGCAAGCCGAATCATTTTGTCACGGAAATCGTTGTCCACGTTGTCACTATGAAGAGAGAGCCAGATACCAAGCCAGTTATCCATTAGGGTATGTAATAGTTGTCCTGTTAAGCTGAGGAACAGTACCAAAGTCAAACGCCGTGGACCGGCGTACTTCAGCAGGAGAGTCTTGAGGCCCTTAAAGTCCTGAAACAAAGCGAAGCTTTTGTTTGTTTGAATCTCATTCCTAGCCATAGGGCTCACAGAATTAGGAGAGGACGTTACCTTCCTTGTATCCCGAGTTTGTGTGCTCTGTGCCGGTTTATTTTTATCCCCAGCATTCATATTTTGGATGTTTCTGTGGAAGATCTCATTAGTCGAGTTTTCCCAGTCCAAAAACTGAGAGTAAATCTGTTTCTGCGTGATTGGTTGGAACTCTTTTAGCTCGCGAACCATGCCGTCAGTATGAATTTGGAAGACACGATCGGGCATAAGCATAGTGGCAGCGGTGTGCGTGGATAGAATGATGGTTTTTTTGTACCGCTGGGTGGTATCGGAGGTCTTTATTGCTGGCATCGCCCAAGTATCCGCTTTTTCCTCGTTGTTTCCTTTTTTCTTGTCTGTATCGACACTTTCCACGCTACACAACTGGGAGCTCGACTTCTCCTCAACTCCTTCACATCCCTCTTCGCGCATGAGACCATGAAAAACATGTCTTATGATGTGTTTCTGCACTTCTACATCTAACGCAGAAAGGATATCATCCAGCAAGATGACATCTACGCTGTGCAGTCGAAACACAGCACGTGCAAGCGCGACACGTGCTCTTTGACCGCCAGAAAGTTTTGAGCCGCTATCTCCCACGACTGTGCGATCACCGAGTTCCATTGAGTCTAGATCATGCGTTAGGGCACACGCGTGCAACACACGGTGGTACCATCTTCGCTCTTCCTCGGTCTCCGGTGCCTCGTCTGGAAGCAAGCGAATATTCTCCCGCACAGTCTGGTTTCTAAGCCACGGTATTTCTGCACAATATGCCACACGACCGCCCACTTCGAATCCACGCGGCTGATACTGATGACACCACTGTCTTGGACCTCCTGGTTTTATCGTAGAAAACATAGTGCTATTTTTAGATGGATGCGGACTGCCGTTGGACCGCAACTGCGACTCTTCCTCGAACTTCGATGACACCGTAAGCTTATTCGCTCGAGAAGATAACGAGAGAGGGGACCACACACCACTGCTACCGAGGCTGTACTGTTGCTCCGCTATCGGGCATAGCTCATTCAGGATCGACAGCAGCAACGCACTTTTACCGCTCCCGGTCGGGCCCTGAACTATAACGAATTCCCCGGGGTTGATGTCCATAGATACCTGGTGCAGGACGACAGAGTTGGATGTCGTCAAACCCGAGAAGTGGTTATCCTTGAGCAGCGGGGATGACACTTTATTTGAGTTACAGGTAAGACCATTGCTAGGATCGTCGCCATTACCCGCTCCTTCGCCTGTTGGGCCATGAAGGAAGCAGTTGGTACCTCCTTCCGCCGCTGTCACCGCACTCGAGACCCCCTTCGTTGACCATGCAAAGCTCCACCCATCGCAGCGCACAGCGCCACGTGGCAGCGGAGCAATGCCAGTCTCGTCTTCGTCCTCCGGACCCATTCGACTCGTCAAGACGCCAGAAAAGCTTGACATCGAACCTGAAGCATTTTCACAGGCCTCTTGTATCCCCCGGTGTGTTGATGAAGTCCCAGACTGCAGGTAGCGTTCGATTCGCTTCATGGAGATGAAACCGCTTGAGATCTGAGAACATAACCTCGGAAAGGTCCATAAAGGAAAGCGCATGGTGTTGAGTGCGGCCATTGTCGGCACTAGCACCGCTGCATCCATCTTTCCACCGACGAGGAGGTAGCTCCCACAACACACCAGCGAAATCATTAGCGTGATGAGCTCTGTTTGTAACGTGGACGTGCTTTCAGCGCACGCAAGTGTTTTTATAGCGTCGCTTTCATCCCGGCGCGCGTCCTTTATGCGCCACCACATAACATTTTCTAATGCCATTGCCTTGACCGTGCGCATGGAAGAAAGTATACAGCCGAGATCGGTAATTCGTCTGTTGTTTTTTCTCGCGGCTCCTCGTGCTTGGCTAATGCGAAAGGAGCTTAACTTATTCAACGGAATCGTGGCAACCAACACTGCGAAAGTGGTAGCAGTAGCAAAGCAACCCACATAGGAGTACATTGTCGTCAAAGAGACGAGAATAATTAAAGGATGTCCCCAGACATTGTGTAGAAAGATGAGCGTCTCGCCGCAGTTTGTTGCATCAATCGTCGATAGCGAAATGATTTCGGTTTCGCTCATAAGGGATCGACCCCCCGACTTTGCCTCTTCCTGAGTTTTGCTGCCAGATGAGGTGGAATTCATGCTCCCTCCTGATATTGCCGTTGGCTCCACTCCCCTTCGAGATGCTTGGATTTCCTTAGAGGGTGCTGCAGGTGGACTATTCCCTCCCTCCTCATCGTCCGTTTCTTCTGTCTCCGCTTCTCCCGTGTTTTTACTCGTGGTGAAGGCGGAACGAGAATGGAGTGCGTGCCGTAGCAGCAATACCTTCAGTGTACTGGTAACATTCATTGAGACTTGATAGAGATAGTTTAAGTAGGTCTGGAAAAAAAACCCTTGTGCTAAGACTATTACAAACATCAGGAGGCATAAGAAGAACCCCCGGCCGAGGTGGGCTTCCCTGGAATCGGGCAAAAACTCCTGCAGAGTCCCCTTCTTAGGGGGAGGAGATTTGTTCCCAAGGCTACTGACTTCCTTCAGAAACAGGACAAGCTCTCGCACAATGTATGGAACGCATCCGCCAGCCACGTCGTTGGCGATTTTTAGTGGTACACACTTGTAGACATACTCATGGCCGATGGGATGTTGCAGAAAGAGCTCAAAAATCCCCTTTTTAGTGTGCCGAGAAGAAGCCGCGTTTACGCTTCGAGATTTACGAGACGCATTTAAATTTGAAGGCATTTTACTTAGCCCTGGCACTGATGGGGGGATAAAAAAGTGCTGAAAGGCGCACACGAGACCCCTTCGGATTGGGCCTGTCACGTAGCGGAACACTGAGCCGACAGTATTGCGTTGTTTCGGGGTTAACTCTTCGGTGGTGCCGGTTCGCCGCCGCGAACACCACAGACGCCACGCACAGTCGCCATTTTCCTGTGCTCGACACTTATCCAAAAGTCTTGGAAGTCGCGCGGCTACCGCTAGCTGTGCTCGAGTCAGGCTTCTACCACCGTCGGTAAAGGCATCCGTCGGAGGGGGGCTAAAGATTCCAAACGGCGACAACACAGCGACGTTGAGAAGGGGGTTGAGCCAGCTGTAGATGAGAAAGGAAAGCCAGGAGACGCTGTTTGGGTCTGGAAAGTTGTCGCCCGGACGCGCCGCATACCTCATGGAGTTGTGATGTTCATCACTTCTGAGAGGCATCATCCTACCCGATCCGACGTCGTTCGCGTTTCCGCAACTTTTATCCGACGTAGTCTGAATCTGGCCATTTTTTTTTGAATGGGAAACATTTCCCTTTATCCCAGAGTCAGTGGAACCCGGAAAGAGCCAGAGACGCGAGCACATGTGAACCCTGTTGGCAGTCCACCTCGATACGCGCCAGCTTTCCTCACAGACTGGGCAGCCTTCCCAGCCGTTGGCAAGGAAGAGGGGACGGATACCAATCAACGCGTGAAATATGCGTTGCATGTCTAATAGCGCTATGAGTGCCAGAACTAACTCAATACCAGTAACGAGCACTTCTTTCGATAGCGGAGTAGGCAGAAAGGCGTCAAAGGTGGGCAGTGGTAGGGATGACGCCGGCGTGACGGCAGATGTCTGGCTACCTTCATGTGCAGTTAAGAGCCCTGGGTATTGAATGAAGCGCAAAAACCATACAAGCTCCACCAAGGCGAAGAGTGACCTCAAAATGGAGTCATATCCATTGCCATAGCGACACATGGTATAGACTCCAGGAGTGGCTTTGGTTTGAGTGGGGCGGCCACAGAGTGCTTTGATGCTACGCACTGCTGAACGAGTACTGTAATACACCAGACGCAGAATTATAATTAATAGATTCACAGAAAAATACATCGTTCCAAAAAGGAAAAGCATCGTGGAAGGATTCTTCCATATTCGACGTATTAGTATTTGCTTGGCTTGGTACACATTCAAAAGCGGATCCTTTTGCCACTTCCAGACAAATAACAGCCTGCTCCACGACCGCTGTGTTTGTTTTGGAGGAAAGAGGACCTCTTCGAGCAGTTCTGGGATCAACTCACGGATGTAGTGACGGATTGCTTCCATACTAAGTAGTGATCGATGTTGATCTGAGATTACTACTGGAAGCAGCACATTAGTGAAGAATGCCTTTATTAGATCCTGAATGTAGCAAATATGGATTAAGAAGAAGAGGTAACTTGGGGATCGTTTTAGTAATCTAAGGAAGAAGTAGTAGTGTCGTGATGGCGGTGGTATAGAAGTCTCTGCTGGAGCGGTGATTTCAGTCTTCTTATGAGACCGCCCCCCCCTTCCTCGTCGCTTCTTCCTGGAATCACACTTCATGTGGGATTTGATAAGTTGGAACTTTTGTAGTTGTTTTGTAAAAAAATTGCTCACCTTTTGGTTCTACGTATTTCTTGTTGAACTGATAAAAAAATTCCAAAGGAGTGTAAAAATAAATCGTTCGCAATTTCCGCAAGATATTACAATATTCCATTTGAATTGAGAAAGGGCGACTTTGCCCCGATGTATACAGGGGCCAATTCATTTGCAGCATATAAACAAGAGAAAAATATACAAAGCAATAACTTGTGTTGTTTTCCTTGGTTACCCTTTTGTTGGAGGTGGAGTTGAGAGCTACACATGGTACCATCTCCATCGAACTTCTGCTTCTTCATTTGTAAAAAGAGTGAACTGTACTTGAATTAAAATCAGTAAACTCTTTTCCACACCTTTCTCTTGCTTGTATTGCGTGGTTGATGACGATGAAGGCAAATGCTGCTTATTGCGAGATTCGCTTGCATTCGGCATCCCTTCTTCAGCTTCCTTAAGAAATGGGATGGATTCAGAACCCGCTTGGCCACCCTTCTCCAAGTCCACGGCCTCAAAAGATTCACTTGAAATCTCTGCTGACAGCGCAAACCCCGGTACCGTAAGGAGACGGAAAAGCTTGCTGACGCATATTACGGGCACATTACGCAACTTGTGGAAGTGCAAATGTATTCGCACACCTTGTTCGGAAGACTCTCTAGACTCACCCCCACTGGGCTCGTCCGAAGCACTACTCCGTGCATCTGTATTGCGATCTATGGGAATGAGATAGACGGAGCTCCCTACATCGTCTCTGAACAAGCTGCTCTTAGAATCGCCTCTCCCTTTCTCTTGGTTGAAGGTAAAACCATCTTCCTTTGGATTAGCCTCATTAGCAAGTGGGTCGGTTACGGAGCTTCCACTGGTTAGCGTTTCCTTCTTATCGTAGCGGGCGTCTTTTGCATTCATGCAAGCAACACGTGACCGTACGTGACTCAGAAAAGCCTTGAACTCAGCTGTACGGGGTTCCCCCACTAAGAGAGGGAGTCGCTTCATTCGCTCCTCTTGCATTTGGCGGCGCCGGAGCTCCCGATCCCGCCTTTGCATTTCTCTTTGTTGCACTTTCAAACCTGCTGCATTAGCCCCGTCTTCTCTATCAAGCGAGGCCTCTCTCGTGTTAATCGCTCCCGAAGTGGGACCATTCACATCACCAGATTGCCCCACATATTGGCTGAGATGCGGCGAACCTGACAGCTCGCGCGGGGGCGAAAAGGAAGCCAGCACCTCTTCCTTTTCTTCCTCTTCGCTAGCCTCTTCCATCCGCGTGAATTCCTCCAGCATCATGGGCAACCGCGAAGTACCCAGCTGTTCGCAGAGCAGTTGGTAAGGAAAACCCATGAACGATTGTTGTGAGGCCAGGATGACCTCACGAGCCGCGTCGAAGATCTTTACGGCCCTAATCAGCGGATCCTGCGAGTAGACAAGAGTGGGACGCTGAGCCGCAAGATCCACACCGGTGGCGGAGAGAAGACCCGTCAACGTCTTTCGCGCGTTTTCGACAGTTTCCTTAATTGCTGCAGCACCTTCTCTGAACAGGAGGCTGAAAAATCGGTTGTCCCCTTCGCTGCGCTGCACCTCGCGCGCGAGCCTTTCCTCTTCTTCGGACTCTGCCTTGCGCTTCAGATATACTGCCTGACCACGGTCGTAACAGTACTCCAGGTAACTAATGATGGCTGCCACCGCTTCGTTGGGGTCGCGGTAGTTTACTTCCTCGATTAGGAGCGTCTCGCGGTGAATGTCACGCTTGAACTGCTCCCAAACGTAGATCCACTCCCCGCGAACCTTGTTGAAGGGCCTGGTTATGTGACCGCCCTGATCAATTCTTTCCCTTTCCAGGTGGAAGTTCACAGGTCTATAACTACTACTGCCACGATATTGATGAATTGAATAGGATCGCGAGGCGTATAATGCTGTGCGGAAGGTTGAGGCGCGGTTACCGGGTTCCGTAGCAACCTGAATTTCCAACGGATAGCGATATTGAAACAATTGCGGTGCTTGCACCCGCATGAATTCTTGCTCGACAAGGTCTACCAGTTGCTGTGCATCCTCATGACTAGCCTCATCCACTCCTCCTTTTTTGTTGTTGTATTGAGCATCACATGTATCTCTTTGCTCCTCATTGGGGCGCCCAAGCTGAGGATCTCGGGAAATATCATCCCTCAAGCATGCAGTATCCCCTTCTTTGTTGGGAAGACTCTTTTGAACGCAACTAGTCTCTAGCCCTTCCTCTTGATAATGCAAAGGATATGAAGATTGGGATTGATCATCTAAGAGTGTCCTAACTTTGGCAGCTGGGCATGTGCCTTTATTTTCTTGTACATTACAGTCACTAGAGCTATTTAAAGGGAAATCTGAAGATTTCACACAGCTTTGCTGGTACTGCCCTTGCATTTGTTGCTCCAAAGACTCACACGAAGTCGAAGTACCTCTCTCTGGAATATTCTTTTCTGTGATTCTGTTGAATTGTTGAGCTTGCCTAAAAGTAACAGGGCCAGGCGGGTTTGAACCACTTTGACTTTGAGATCGCTCTTGCAGGGTCTGAATCTCGGCGTTTTCTGAGGAGTAAACGGGTACCACTGTTACGCAGGGCACACCATTATGGGTACAAAACGTCCGTTCGTAGTCTATCGGTGAACCTTTTTCCTGCGCGCTTCGACGTAGACTATATAGATGAAATGCTTCCATCTTTCGATCCTCCTGCTCTAAATATGAACGAAAACCCGAGAGGGCATCCTCGAAGATGGCTTCACGCGCAGCTGTCAATGATACGGTGTAGGCTGGGGCGGTCTGAAAGTCGAGGATCGTTTCGGGAAGTTCGACACCCTGTTGGTCTTTTTTCTTTATGTCCTCACTCAAGCGAGAGCATTGCGATGCGGGAGAGACTGATCTCTTGATTTTTTCACTTGAATCCAGAGAGTAGGAACTACACACACGAGAAGATAACGCGGTCACCGTAAAGCGACGTGTGCGCTGAATCCTGCGGATCATTTCAATCGCCTGAGTCGTACTTTTGGCATTCTGAAGCATATACACAAATTCATCTTCGCTATCCTCACTTACCCCTGTATCGTCGTCGTGACGTCCCTGCGTTGAGGTGGTGGGTGTAGCATGTCGTCCACTTTGCCCATGGGGGAGCTCCGCACGAGGGACAGCTATTTCCTTTTGACAGGATGACGATCTTGTTGATTTGGAATGGTTTTCTGTCGTACATTTGGCGGCGACGCCATCACGCGAAAGCTGGGACACTCCAGCGTCGATAGTTGGAGGAGGACAAGCAGCTGACGCTGTAAGTGACGATTCGATTCCGGGAAAACATGTCCTGTGGTATGAAGGGATTTTTAAATTAGGATTCATTTTGGACGGATTATGGGATTTATTTTGTGTAATGTATTCGCTAGTGCGAATAAAATGATAATGACACTTCCAACGGGCTATTGAATTCTGAGCGAATCGATTATGGCTGACCCCGTAGAAGAAACAGAGAAAAGGTTGATATCAGAAGTTTTTTCTGATGTTTTGATTTCCTCAGGCCAAGGCAATTGAGCAACTAGTATTGTTTGACTCAAATTACTTCCTTTCCTCTAGGAATAGCAAACAATGCCAATTGGAAACTTAAAAAAAGCGTACAAAAAATTGATACAGCTCTTCCTAAATCAAATTAAGCAAGCATAAATAGTGATAATGATATTAATAAGAAACACCTAAATTTTGTAATACTAGAATTATGAGTAGCTGAGTTTTAAATACACGTAACGCGCAAGAAAAGGTGAAAGATGTACAGGGAAGGTAAGCGAAAAGAGCAATGAATATTTATCAACATGTACAGGAAAGAAGACACGCTCCAGTATCTTCATATTTTCCTAGGCATGAGTAACACGGCACCTCTCTATGAGGAATGAAAATATTACATACAAAGTTACGGGAATAAAACAAAATTTTAAAGCGAATTTTAATAATGCCAACATTTTCGGAGGAGACCTTAACATAAAGTGCAGAAGAAAAGTGCAAACGAATGAGAATATGAACATATAATATGAAGTAGAAAAGAACAGAAACAAGGGAACATTTAGAACATATTTGTTCCATGTCTTGCAATGTAAACAAACATCAATGAGTAAAGCAGTGTTTACACACACCCATCACGCCATTTCACTCGACAGTGAAGAAAGAATGAACAATGAGCTTATTAATTATGGGCTTACTATTCACATATATAAAAGATAAATGTTCCCACAGGCAGTCGCTCCCTGTTTTCTTTGTCAGGCTCCGACGTTGCTAATTCACAGAAAAAAATAACATTTGGGATTTATGTTTACATATTGCTGAAAAAATAGGGGTCAAAGCCGGTTTGCTTGCAGTAGGGTGTCTGAAACATCACTGCTCTCCGGCGTCTTCCGAGTCAACGTAGAGGACCTGACATTGTGATCCCACGTCTTCGTGATGTCGCCTTTCCTAACCCTTTTAAGGCTCTTCACATGCCTGTTCATGCTTTCACTGAAATTGGTGTCACTGACCACAGCATAATGCTTTACGCACAAATCACTCCCTATGAGAGGTTAGTTCTGCAGCGACTGGCGTAGTGGAGAACACAAAAAACGATCCGGTGTACTCTGCGCTCGTTTATGATCTGATGCTGTTCCTTGTCAAGAAAGAAGTGATGGGGACCGCCCGTAAAGGGTTTTGGGCATGCCAAAACTTCTCCGACTCCGCGATGCCGTTGGTGTTGTACCTGCCGCCGTAACAAACACGGGCAGACGGAGGGCGGTGCACGCTGCAAGCAACCGTTGATCAGGGCTACATACTGGAGACCCTGACGCTCGGGGAGCGTCTTCCCCACATCGATTGCTTTCATCCGGTGCGCTGCATCGTCTACCCAAACGACCCAAAGAGAGCTGGATTCTCTTGTAGTATCGCGCTGCAAATTGTTGCAGCTCTTTCTTTTCAATGGCATCTTCTTGTTTACAAACCCATCGCATGTGTGAGCCACTGGTCGATATTAACCCTAGATCCGAGGTCGAATTGTTAAGTGGTAATATTTCAACGATACCAGACGCACAATATAGCTCAGTGCTAAACGGAGATGCGTAGTTGTTTCCCCCCCTTTTATGACTCTCGTAAGTGATACTCATCATAGGAGTATTGTTAGATTTTTCCTGCTCATCACTGCTCTCACGAATGTTACCTACCTTGGCGACATCCTTCGGTATTTTTTCGTTGTTGTCAGTCGTCGAAACGCACTCAACACGCGGGGGCTCATGGGGCACTGACTGAGAGTTCCCCAACAGTGAACTGTGAGCGATTTCCGAGAGGCAATCCTTCCCGTCGTTTGCCTGTGTCGTAGATCCCCCCGATTGGGGACTTTTGGATAGTTTACATGGCACAAGAGCAGCGCGCTCGTTGACTTTGCACGCGCCGGCGCCTTGCACCGAGTTCTGTTTACTTAGTGAAATGACTGGCTTCTGAAAAGAGGACCGACAACTCAGTTTCTTAGATGGCGTTGTGATTACAGGTCTTCTCGACTTACCCAATCCTATGGGCGCACCTGTTTGGCCTAAGTTTTTCTTTGGTAATGTATCGTAAGTGGTAACTGAAGTCTTGCGAGTATCCCTGACTGATTTTTGCGGAAGCCCTTCATTTAGCGAATGTGAAATAGGTGCTGGTAGGGGTTCTGAATGCAAGATTCGAGAGGGAGTGGCCAAAGTGTCAGAATTGGATCCTGATAATGACTTCATGAAACCCTTTGCAGAGGAGGCCCGAGTTTTTATCCCACCTTCGTTTGCACTGTTGCCGATGGCGTCAGAAGGCAATGCTTGCAACAGTCTTAGCTGAGAACGGTCTTCAGACCCAGAATGTTTGGTGGTGTAGGGTCTAACGGTATGCGCGAAATTGATTTGATTCGCTGTAACACAAGGCAGCCCTCCCTCGGCTCCCACGGGCCGTTTTGAATGAAATTCAGAAACCGCTTTGGTATCATGAGCGACACAGACACTCTCACATGTACATCTAAAGGACCCCTTCTTACTTTGGGTGGTTCTCCACCGAGTGGTCTTTTGTCGTAGTATTATTTCAGAGGGTGCAACAATATGCCCCATCAAGTTCCGCAGAGAGAAACCGAAGCCGTGGAGTTAGTTGGAATGCGTTAGGGAACGCCTGTATCAGCTGGTAAAAGCTAAAAATCAAATCAAATGGGAAAAAATATCCAAGACACGTGATATCCACGGAAAAAAAAATAACCTTGCAATAAATAAAGCTTCAAGATAGAGTGGTAAAATAATGATAATAATTAAATGGTTACCTTTGGAAATTCCCTTTATTTTCCTCGATGTGATCCAGAGGAAAAATCAAAAATAAAATAAACTAGTCTTTAACACAACTAAGAATAAATTTAGAATAAGAGGATGAAAAGGGGAAGAGGAGTTCTGCAGCGTTGGTAAGACAAATCCTTCAATATCACGTGCTTCATTAAATAATAGATAAAAGTGCCCTAAATATCAAAAAGTATGCTATGTATATATATATATATATAAACCCTTGAATAGTTGCATCAAGAAAATGAATATGATGTCTTTCTTCTTCGATTCTTTCCCATGAACCTCCTTATACAGATGCAGGCAAAAGTACCATTCCGTTCGTAGAAGAAACCATTTCATGTATTGCATCATTTTGAATTGACAAATTTTTCACTAATATATGCAATACACACCTATACAATCGTTCTCCCGCTCTTCTCAGCATTTTTTTCCCCAATTTGATTCTATACACAATTATTCCAAAAAGCATTTACCAAGGGTCTCACTAGGATCGGAAAATAATATTAATAATAATAATTAACGGCCAAACAGGTTTATAGATGACTTACATCCGCTTTATTGCTCAAAATACGACAGCATTGATCATGGCACCAATGGATTCATTAAGATTGTTCTGTATCATATTTGTCGCTTCCATTTGGAGATGTGTGATGGAGTTGATGCGGCCGACATTTCCAATATCGTCTTCATCTTGACCTTGTGTGATAAACTTTTCGGCCTGCTTTGCCAATGAAATGAGATCACGCACCCCCTGACGTGTCTTTTTCTCCATCTGCGTGACATTTTCTAACTTGAATCCTTCTTGCCAACCCTTCTTATAGACATTCAAAAGCAGACGCAACTCATGATTCTTCTTTCGAAATGTGATGGGTAGGCTATAGTACTGACGATCCAAACCACGCGACTGCGCAAGCATGGAGGGCTTATTGAGGAACCCAATGTTAGACGTGGTCTGACGTGGTTCGACAAAGCGCGTGTTGGCGGCGCCGCCCAACATCATCAGGGCCATTTCGCGTGGTATAGTGCGAAACGCATCAATGACCACCTTGCCTCTAACCGACTGGATCGGGTCTACCACTACGGATACACTACAAGGCGTCAAATTTTCGTAACTACTCGCCGTCATTACGTCCTCAGAAGAGAGCCAGCATCCGAACCCAGGATGACTGTGGTACCAGCCAACAACGTTCTCATGTCTTCCGACAAGCTTAAGTTTGTCAAGCATGTGCACCTGGTACTCCGGGTCAACGGCCTCGACGGATTGGCCAGTCGCAGTCTGCGGCATTGAGAAGACGTCTGCGACTCGGATCGTATAATCATCCACCACCTCACCGATCATGAGGCCCATAACCTCAAGAGGAACACCTGCTCGCCCATGAAGAAGCATTTTAAGCAGTGCGAGGGACGATATTTGGACCGTCTCTGCGGTATCCCGAAGATCCCCGGCCGGGGCGTTACCACCGAATTCACCCCCACGTCGAAGTAAACCACTAAAATGCTCCATCACTTTTCTTTTGTTACTGAAAGTATATGTAGGTAGATGCTTTTTGTATCCTAATCCAAAATGTAGAAATCCACAAAATGGTTATCTCTTTTTAGATAATTAAAGCGCATACATGCAAACAGTATTAGCAGTATCCATATACGATGATTTGTGAATTGTCTGAAAGATACCAGCGCTTTAACCTAGCAAAGCATCGTTAGATAAATTAAAAATACGAAAATACATGCGGACTTAAAAAGGACAATAAAAATTAAGAACGTGTCTCTGATTTTTAAACATAAAAAACAAAACATTACAAAAAATGAAACTATCTGTGACATCTATAATGAGCATCGAAAAAGTATTTAGTACCTACTTTTATTCTAGATGTATATTTATTTTCCAGTTAGTTGATATGTTAGTTGATTAATTTTTCTGTATTTCACAATTGATTCAAGGGCTTTCCGAGTTCGGCGGCCAGACGGTGGCATCAAGGAACAACGATAAAGGTGCGCTATAAACTGTTCCTTAGATCTCTGTTTTTAATCCCTAGCTTCGGTGTGCTAGCCAGCAGAAATATGTGTACACTCGTCACATATGAGATGTCCTATATAGTTTTTCGTCACCTAGAGACTTGCTTTTCAAATATCTTCTGCTTCTTCACGCGGCACCTCGTCGCATGCAAGGTTCTCATAAATGTAGTTCTGCAGCGTTGGAATGCGCACGACCATTCGATCCAACCTCTCTTTGATGGGGCCGACCGGAGCAAAGTCTGGGCAGAAGCGCAGTGAGAGCGTCCGTAGTACGGGACACCTGCTCAGACCCTTGATGCCATCACACGATATCTCGGTGTTGTCTAGAATGAGCGTCATCAGCGAGGGAAGTGAGGCCAGCATAGAGACGTCCTCGACCTTATCACAGTAGCTCAGATCCAAAAAGATGAGGTTGGAAAAGCACGTCGCATGGCTGGAGAACACGCTCAGCCCATTTGCGTCCAGGCTACCATTCCACACGTAGAGCTTCGTAAGACACGGAAACAACTGAAGCCCATCGAGGTTGTTTAGCACGTTGCAGTATTCCGCCACCAGCACACGCAGAGGGCGATGTGGTGGGGCGCAGCGACCCAGTGGTTGCAGAGACGCGATCTCTGCGAGACCAGTCGTCCTGACATTTGTGTGACTCACATTTAGGTAATGCAGCAGCCACTGCCTCCCACACAAAGACGCAAGACTTTCAACCCTCAGGCAGAAGGTAAGGTCTAGGTGATACAAATGACTTTGAAAGCGAAGCTCAAGTGACGACTTAATTTCAGGAAACCCATGCACGAACTCCTGCTTTCCGTCCGCGTAAGCGTCGACGAAACACCCTAGTAATGTCTCAAAAGAAGTCGAGGTGCCAAATGGAGGCGATGCAACAGCATCCACGGCTTCCCCACATTTGATATCGACCTTGCTACCTGTTATATGCGCTTTATCAGAAGGAGCGCAACGCAAATGATTTGATTTACAGACTGATTTGGCTACACGGCTCAATAACTGCTGAAATGCACTTCCATCAAGATGCACCACCCCGGCATTGTTGAGCTCGGTAAAGGGTGCAAGTATTTGCACAAGACTTGTAATATACGACAGGGCATTTACACTGCGGACCTTACGGCAACTTGTGAGGTTGATGGCTATGAGTGAGGAGGTCGGGGAGACTGCCGGTGAAATGAGGGGAGGTTCAGAAGATGGATCACCTGTGCGAACTCCTGAAGCTGCATCACTCATTTTAATCGAAACGGCGCGTCTATGCGCTGCTTCGAGCTCATACAACAACGCACATTGCCCCAGTTCGTCGAGTACTTTACTATCCAGGGACGATCCAGAGGCGTTCATAAGTTGCAAGCCATGCTTTCTACCTGATTTCATTGGTCGATGGTCTAAACAAAGTCTTGCGAGTGCCCTTCCCGCATGTGAGAGCATCTTTAGGCTTTCGCTACATGCCAGCATTTCATCAACCGTAGTTGAATCGCTTCCTAGGCCTTTTCTTGCTGCAGAGCAGGGAATCCCAAGGTAACGACGAACATCGAGCTCGGTCTGCAACAGGGATGCATTGCAGTGAAAATCTAGGAAGAGACATCCAGCAACATCCAGGGCCCGCAATGCACTTACGTGATTGGGTGAAGATGATACATCGCCGTGCGTAGCAAAATGGTTGCCAAGGGCGAAGGCAAGTAGATGGGTACCGCAGATTCCTGTATGGCTCACGTCGAGCGCCTGCAATTGACCCGAGTAGACGGCACCAAGGCGATAGAGCCAGTGGCAGGTCTCCATCGCACTTGCTCGCTCGCGCAGTCGATTTTGTAACGATCCATGCGCGCACACAGTCGCTTCAAAGGGTATAAAAGACAATATCAAGTGTTTTATCAAAGAAAACATGCGCATGAAGGTGCATTGATGGCTGGGATAAAGATGCCCCACATAGTGGTTGAGGACGCGGAACAACAAAGTGACGGATATAATCAACATTAGCAAAGGAATGGCTAGGACAATACTTAAAGCGAACAGCAGTGAAGTCAGAAAGTTCCTCAGGGTGGGAGGGCTTTTGTCAGCTCGAGCGAAAGGCCCAGTGCGGTGCATCGCGTCATTGGAATAATCTGACTGTGTAGGTGTTAGGCTACACCATTCAGCAATTTCTTTGGACGGCAACAAGGTCGCAGCGGCAGCGTTATCGCAAAGAGTAAAGCAAAAAGCCAAGCACGCATGTACATAGCATACAAATGCCATGAATCGACACAGCAGGGATACCTTCAATGGTACGTAAAAAACACGTGCTGCAGCCATCGAGACAATCTTAAGTTGTATCGGTACCAAAACTCTATCCTCTGCCTTCCCAACTCTGTCATTGTGTGTCAGGTATTCATGTGGGTTTTCTTTCAAACCGTAGTCGTATCCAAGTTCATGAGGAGAGATAGGACGCTGTAACCACCACTGACTGACCCCCAACATTACGTTCTGCACAGCATCTTGGCGCGTTACTAAAGCGACCCGGTACAAAACATCTCTATTTTCTCCCATGTCTTTACACTTTTCCATTAGCCTAGATGATGACTTTGAAGAGTGTCTTTGAGAAAGATGCGCAGCCCAATGAGCCAGCCTGCAGGCATTTAGAGTGCTTGCTGCAGACTTCAGGTTTTCACGCTGATCGTCTGCTGCCGGTACATGTTGCATCACCGTTCCTTGTCCGTCTTCTTTCTCATTATGCACCGCAGGGGTGGTACAGCTGAAATTCACCATTTCTGGTATTGACATCACTTCGGCTGGGAGTGCCGTGATGGGAAACAAATACTTTTCCTCACATGGTAACGATGAAAGAAGACCCACAGGATCACAATCCTTTTTTCCGATCGCGCAAGCATCCCCTCGCAGTAGTGCCGATATGTCTTTTAGACTTTTTTCATCCGTGGGAGAGTCAGAATTAGAGGAAAGATATTCACGTAATGGAGTTCCTGGTATTTCATGCGATATCCAAACATTGTTAAAATGACCCTTTGATACTGATGGAGGCGGTAACGAGGTCATCCTATCCTGTGAGCATGCATTATCATCGACGGAAGGGGGAACCCTGTGATTTGCCAGGCTTTTCCTTAAAAGATCTTGCCCAGAAATCAATACCGTTATCAGACCTCCTACCTGCGTGCCACATCTTGTTTTTCCCCATGAGCTGCATTTTTCGTAAAGGTTGCGATCATCTATGCTGTTGCAAGCATCAGATAAATGCACACGTCGAAACACCGAGGAATCAATTTGATCAATAAGCGGGGCGCTCCCGCACGGATCTTGCTTCTTATCTTCTGCAATAAAATCATCACTTCCATCAAGTATGGCTTCTTGTGTAGCTGAAAGTGATGTAGTTGAGGTCGCAAACATTAATGGAACCGGGTCCTCTTCCTTGTTAGCCTCATCAGACTCACCAGCAGCAATATCAGTCGTGCCGTGGAGGAAACGAAAGAATACAAGTCGCTCAGCTTCCATTCGTTCTGCTATTATCCGAGCCGACGGGCTCACAGCGACCCATGCAAGCGGAAGCCTTCGTAAATGCGATACACCAGACGTAGACCTGCCTTCAATATTCTTTTTGCTCGGCAAATATTGAGAAGCACAACCAGAATAGTAGGACGCGATGCAAGAAAGGAGATTAGTTGTGTTCCTGGAACCCTTACATGGTGGGGAACAACGAGTCAAAGATTCGTGCTCCATAACCGTAACTAACGGATAAATCACAGAGGAAAATAATTGACCGGAAAATGAATCGATCTGAATTCGTCTTTCTGTTAAAGTAGCTAATATATAAAAAATAATGTTGATCTTGATTACTTCTAAGTATAACTGAAACCAAAGGGAATGAAATTACAAATGGGAGGTCCCTTTATTAAGGAGAGGGAAAATTTTTTATTCATCATATTATTAATCATCCTATTTTTTACCATGGTTTACTATTACTGTCACTTGGGGTTCAAACGTATGCACACTCGGACACATTTTAAAGAGAATATGGGAAATAAAAGTTGTAGTAACCAATGATGAAGTACAATCTATGGGCTGATAAAATCACCAGCGATACCAAACATGTGCCACCAAACTTGGAAAATAGTAAAATGCAATAACAAGGCATCTAAATTACGCAGATCAACACTTGAATAATTCCAAAAAACACAAGATGAGTACTAGTTTTTTTTTATATAGAAATTTAGTAATACAGTTTATTTTAAGAAATGCTGGACGAGTTGGGGAGTTGGTTTCAGGAAAACTTTGCGCATAGACATATATAATCTCTCCTATATTTTATCAAATATGCGTTTCTGATCGCTCGTGCTCCTCATCCCTCACATTGACAGACCCCAGACTCAGATATGGTTCGATTCAATACTGTTTCGAGTGCATCGCTCGCATTCTGCATTTCAGATTTCACCTCAGAAGTAAAATCAAGCACACTTGCCACCACCTGGGAAAGAGCCTCGACCCCTCGCGGTCCACCACTTGGTGGCCTAGCGTTCCCACAGCCTCGCAGGTCCATTCCCTTTTCGGTTATCGGTCCATACTTTTTGAGTAGACGGGCAGCAACGGAATTTTTAGCGTATTGTGAGCTCAGGACGCTAGGAAACGGTTGCTGAATGTTCTGTGTTGACAGGCCTCTCGGCACAGGACCGCGCATGACTCCTTTGTTTACTGGTGTTGCCTCTGGTGAACTGCTTGAGGAATGTGAAGAAGCTGTGTAGGCAGATAACCCTCGGGCAGTTTTTTTCTCATTTTTTAACAGAGTCGTCCTGAGAAAAGCTGCTTTTCGCTGCTGGGCCTCTGTGGTCCATTCCTCACTTTTACCCTCCCTGCTGTACAACTTGGGTATATACTTATACTGAACCATGCGCATAAGTTTTTCTAGATCTGCACAGCACGCCATAGTGCGCGCGAAAAGAGCCTGCGTTATATCACCAACACGTTTACAGGTACCTTGTACCATACAGACTAGGTGCTGAATTGCTGCGTCTTTCTCTATAACCTCCCGCTCTAAAGTCATGATATTAGTTGCGTCAGAGGCTATTGTGCGGTTCCCCAGCTCCATTTCCTCCATCTCCTTCGGGCGGCCTGTGCTGTTAACTGCTATCTTACTTCGCCCCTTTGCTCCATGCCTACTGTGTTCGGAGCGGTACTCTTGTCGTCCACGCGGGGGGGTGGGGAGTGCCGGAACGTCACCTATGCTACTCTCGTCTGAAGGCGTAGATTCACACGAGTCGTCGTCAACGTGTGCATGCCGCTGGCGACCGATCATCTCCTCCCTTCCTGTCTGCTCACACAGCCGCACCAACTGCTGAATAGTGCTTCCGGCGAATTTAACGAGCTGGTCGTACTGCCGAAAGAGGGCCAGGCTTCGCTGACTCGTTATGTGCAGCCGAACTTCGCGACGTAGTCGGATGTGTTCGTTGTAGATGCTGCTAAGATTGCGTGAGGTGCCCAAGACAAGCGCGCGGCAATGCACTTGCCTTGGAGTCCTGCCGCTTTGCTGGCGCGGGCCGTGCGCCCCTTCGTCTAGGTGGTCTCTAAATACTTCGGTTTCAGCTACACCATTGTGGGGAGTTCTACAATGGTAGCGCTCAGCTATAGGCAATGACAATGCATTCTGCGAGGGCTGTTGTTTATTCTTTAGTTGCAATAGAGCGTGTTGCTGTGCAGCCTGCAGCTCTTTTCGAAGGACACAAAGCCGTTCCTGTAGCTTTCGATTCCAAATTGCGTTTAGGTTCATCAGAAACGGGTAAAAGTGGGAAAGCGCGGGTACACGAGGGCAGTACTTGTTTTTAAATTGCTGGGCCACCATAAGTACTTTATATGGTACCCAGTAATCCCTTTCTTGTCGTCGACATTGTAAGACATCTTGAGCCGTTGGAAGCTGATTGCACAGCCTGGCCGCTTCCTCCAACTCAAGAAGCTTAATTTTCTTAAGTCTTGTGAACATATTTTCCGAGTCGACGATCTCCTGAAGCTTTTTGATCCACTGACCGTTCAGCCAAATATTTTTTGTTTTCTGAAAAGAGGCACTTCCAGTGTAAATGCCGTCCTCAACGCCGGTCTGAGGGTTAGTTTCGATGTTTAAGGGTTGCCCAGCAGCATTAATCTCATAGTCCCTTGCATAGTTATCCTCATCCTTGTCGACAGAGTCGTGGTTGCGGGGAGTCCGGCTATTCGCTAGCTTGGTATCTCTTGTCGTTTGAAAGGAGCTTTTATCGTTCATTCGGAAGTATTGCGTTGGATAGGCAAGAAAAACGAACTCGCTGTCAATCTCGTTCCACTTCAAATAGTTCCGCATATCTGGCACGCAACTCAGTACACTTAGCAAGCGGGCTATGCTCAGCCGTGACGCCTCCACCTCCTCCTGCAGCCGATTCTGCTCCTGCAACAGCGATTTCACCGTCTCTCCCTCCTGATCCCGATACTGGCGAAGCTCAAACTGTGCCTGAAGCACTTCTGCCTGCGTATGCCTTTGGGTTTGCTCCGCCTGCTGCACCTTTTCTTGCATATTGGCATGCTCTCGATCCATCTTACTATATTGCACACTAATCTCAGATAGCTGATTGTGAAAATTCTTGCGGAGTTTTTCGATTTCTTTAGTGTGATGTTGCTTAGACTCGCGAGCCGCCCTATGGCTTTCCTCAAGCTCCCCACGAAGTTGCTCGATCTGAGCCCGTTGCATGGCACAACGAGACTCGCACTGATCTAATTCAGCGCGAAGGCGCTCCCTCTCGAGTTTGGAGTTCGACTCTGCTATCTGAAGCTTGTGGGTGTTGCTTTGGATGCTTTCCATCAACCGCTTTTCGCCTTCTCTAGATTGATGATTGCCTACACTATGTCGGTCTAGTTGCTCGCGAAGCTCTAAAATTTCACGATGGAGTGCTTCTATAATGTCATCTCGCAGAACTAGCTGACGCCCTGCACTAGAGAAGGTCTGATTAATTTCCTTAATCTTGGCGTCAAACTGCTTTTCCTTTTTCTGCATCCGCTTCAAAAGCGCATCTTCACTAACCTCTACATATTCTGTGTTTTCGACAGGGTCCGTTTCTACTCTAGCTTGGGATCTAACAGCAGTAATGTCTTCTTCATTCCTTGGGCTACATTGTAAGCCTCGCGTGTGTGAGGGAGCACACTCCTGCTTCGCCTCCTTGCCGTTATGAGTGGCTTTCGTGAGGAGATTGGACTGATGTTTTGAAAGACGATGTCGTCGTCTTTCGTAGAGATCCTCATGGGTAGGAACAGAAGAAGCACTGATGTGGGACCCCTTGGGGGGATGCTGGGCCAAGGAGGTTTGGTGTGGAGTGTCACTCATAGAACGTAAAGATACGTGGAGTTGTTGTTGGCGGACTGAAGAGGCTATCGACGCTGAGGAATACGAAAAGGTGGATTTGCTTGCATTATCTAAGCTGGAATCCTTTCCAGCACGATCCACCCCTAACGAGGCCGCAGGGGAAGAATTTTCAGCTAGTTTAGCGCTTCCATGGAGTTGTCCGCCATATTCGTCGTCAGAACTAGTCTCGCTCATTCTAGAATTGTATGGTTATCAATTGCTAATATCTATAGTTAGCGTTTAACCGTATTTATTTATTGTATATATTCTATTTAACTTTACTCTACACGAAAGTCCCCAGCTGCTCAATCGGGCAGGAAGCTCCCTGTTTTTTTTTAAATCTCGGAAAGAATGAGGAAAAGAAAAATAGATCGCATAATGCGTTTGAAAAACCTCATTAGTCTCCAATAATACCTGTAGCAAGGATGAAAACTTTGTTTTCGGTGTTAAGTTGTAGCTAAAACCTCGTCCTTGCTTCTAAATACTCTAACACGGGCATCTTTTTGCAGAGAAATTCATACCCAAAATAGTCCGAAAAAAAATCGATGAGGTCTTGAAAACGACAAAAGCAAAATGACCTGTATGTCCCAAAACTTTTTATTTTATACTCCCGTGAATTAAAAGGGAAAAATATGATTGATAAAATGATGCAGCACGGCCTCTATCAAAATAACTCCACTCCCAAAGATACCGACGACAAGGAAGTCGGCAAAAGGAGTAAGGCAATATACGGAAATAATTAGTACTAACAAAATTATAGAGAAAATGTATTTGTGCATATAAAGCGGATATAATACACTACGTGAAGGGCGAAAATAACAGGATGATGTATCACATACCATAAAAAACAAATGAAAGAGAAATGAGAAGCATACCCAGATTAAGTTTTTCTTTGGACTTTCCACCTCTATTGAGACCCTGAGCTCTTTTTTTTTTGCATATTCGCGTTGGCACTTTTCATGAACCACTTACCCAGGGTTACGCCGTGTTTTGAGACATCCGACCAGCATCTGCCTTCCTAATTTTTATCTTTTCCAAGATACGTGACACAGCGGCACGGCGCTCCGCATCAGATTCCATGGCGGCCACATGGTCCTCAGCGTCCGATTTCGTTTCCTTCCCACTTTTCAAACTCACCCCTTGCGTCCCATCTACGGTGGCTCTCGATGCGGCGTCATCCATAGCCGTGGCTAGTACCGCAGCCAACGCCGCCACATCCTCGTCCCCACGACCTCCTCCCTTTAGGGGGCCTTCCGCCGCATCCCTGGGGCGCAGAGAAGCGGGTGGGGAGGTTTGGTTCGGCCGCGTCCGCGGTCTCAAAGGGGTTCTTGGGTGAATCTCCCTGCTCACCTCCTTTTCCCCGCCCGTGGGGATGCCCGCCGCGACCCTGGAGCTTCCCACCCTTCGTTTCGCCCCCGTTTCTTGAGAGGGTGGGGTCACCTGGGGCTCAGAAGGGGCCGGGGGCGGGGGGGATGATCGGTCCCCTGAGGGCTCGTTGTCGGGGTACCTCATGGCCTCCACTTCTGATGGCGTCGCGGTAGGCCGCCGCGCCTTCTCCTCCTCTTCCCCTTCCCCCTCCGACGACCACGCGAAGACGGAGGACTCACTTCGGAGCCGTAGGGCGGGGTGAGACTCCGGCGCGGCAGGGGTCGCACGCCGCGGCAGCGTTGATTTTTCCGTGTTCATGACCGTGGCAGGGTTTTGGTGAGGCGCATGGGCGGGATTTGGTGCCACGAAGGACGACGCCGCAGCGGAGAGGGAGGGTTGTAACCGTGGCAGCGCAGGCCTATCCATGTCGTCCGATACAGAGGTTTGGCGAGGAAGGTTAGCTCCGTCACCTTGACGACTGCCGTCACTCACCAAGGCGAGTGGTTTGGCAAGCTCATGGTCTGGCTGCTGCTGGTGCAACGCCTTAGTCGGGACTTTTACTGAAATTTCATCAGTCTCGTCGATGGAAGAAGTTGGGTTGAAGACTCCAGAGCGTAAGAATAGCAGTGACGCACTAGCCTTTACCAATTCTGATGGCAACATCGTCGAGTGCGGCGGATCTTCCCCGATTTTGTTGTTATCTTTTACAAATGCGACATTTTCTGGACGCATAATTTCCAAGGACTGTACATTCACTTGCGGCGGCTGCGGTTGCCCTACACCGTCGTTAGTGTTAAAGAAACTTAATGAAGGCATGTTCTCATCATCGTCGTCGTTGTCAGAGAGTCGTAGTCCCGAGGATTGTGATTGTTTTTCGCTGTTTGAGAAGTGTTGAGACCCTTGTATGTTGATGTCATATTTTGAGAGTGTCGTGTTTAAGACAGAAGAGGCGGTGAAGCGTTGTGTCGCCGAGTCTGAGAAAGACGCTGAGGCCGTTACTGTCGACTCGGTACGATCTTTTTCTCTAGGCACATGTGCCGGCCTACTAGGTCCGGTCGTGTTCATGACGCTACCAGAAAGTGATGTGCACGACACCGCTTCTCTTGCTCCCTGCGCAGTAACGTCTATGGTATGTGGTATCGCCTCGTGCACACCCGTCAGATTCTCCACTGGGGCGTATTTGCTGCCGCCTTCAACGCCATATGATGGTGGCGGCATGGTAGCACTGCGTTCCTTAGGCTGCATGGGTTGTGGCATATCGTACAAGGCGCTTTCATCGTCGCTATGAACAATACGAAAAACACTTGTTGAAGGACTGCTACTGGAGTTTGTTTCGTGAGGTAGCAAAGGGGCCGCCCCTCGGGGAGGATTGGATGGTGAGTCTTGTTCTAACTCTTCTTTCCAAGCGGACGAGTTGATTCTAGATTCGTCTTCTCCCGTTCTAGCATTTGGAAACTTGATAGCCGGAGAGTCGATAGAATCCTTTTCGTTAGTCAGCTTCGTTGGCGTGGAATCATCCCGGATGCGATGCACTTGAGGGTTTTCGGTTTCTGAGGTACCAATACTGTGAAATGTATTGTCTATTCTTTGAAGTATGGGCGACTCGTCATCTTTATTTGTATCAACTGTACCTGTAGGTTTAGGAGTTTCGGCGATGTCTGATGGCTTTGTATCGTTTTCAACAAAACGTTTAGAACCTCCTGATTGGACACTTGATTCATGCAATGCCATTACCTCCGGATGAAAACCCTTCGTGGATGTGAAATCGTAATTCTGCGCGTTTTGCTGATTAAACGTAACTGTCACCCCAGGGAAGTTTTTTTCGAAACTCGACAATACATGTTCTTGCCGCGTGTGGGACGTAACTCCACTCGAAAAACCATCATTCTCGTCTAGAATACCCTCCTCCGGTCTGTACGATGCACAAGAAGGCATCACTTGGCTGAGGAATACTTCATTAGCCTGGCTCATCCGTTGTGATGTTGAAAGCGGCATCGTCGAGCCAGTACAGATGGTGTTATCTGCCATGATGGGGTTCTCTGTGGGACAATGATCACCTTTCTCTAACAAACCATGTGCATACTCTGAGGGCAAAATTGTTGTACCGTAAGAGATTTTTACCGATCTTCTTAAATCACCGGTGTCGCTAAGCCTCCAGACTGAATTGGGTAATGAGTGCGATGGTTGAGATATGAAGGATTTATCAGGCTTTCGTTCATCTTCGACTCGAGGCGCGTACGATGGAGGCCTCTGTTGGGAGTGCGCATCAGCTATACCATCAACGTTGCCATTGCGCGGAGGAGGTCGCAATTCCGCCGTCTGCATCTGCAACTCATTAGATGCTGATTGGACGACTTTCTTCGCATCACTATTGGCCCATATTCCTTTAGCAGTCCATGAGGTCTGCAGCTCCAGCTCCAAGCCATGCCTCGTTGACTTTTTTCTGAGGTTAGGGCTATCCGTTTCTTCAAGCATATCAGCCTCCGTGATCTCGTCGTCATATTCACCGTTTTTGTAGCCATGTAAGACTATCTCATCAAGAGGCATAGCTTCCGTGCTTTCGCGATGATCGTATGGGGCATCGTTTCGCGAAACGTGCCTGCTTGACTTCCTAGATTCCTCTGTGAGCCCATGAGTATGCGTTTTCGAATCTCTAGCCTGCGACTTTGTTTGAAGGCCTTCTTCAAGAGCCCGCTCGACGGTCCGGACCACAAAGTCTTTCTTTTGATTGATAAGAGACACCGTATTCTCTTTTTTAATTGCCAGATCGTTGTGCCTGTTGGGTGTTGTCTCTTTGAGAAAGAGGCTCTCGGCTGGGACATTCCCATCAGCGAGGCTCCGTAAGATCTGGTAGCCGTTGTTTTCACTAATGTCCATCTCTCGTAGAGCGGACAAGAACCGAGACACCACATGCATGTCCTTCACAACCTGCTGTGCGAATTCTTTGCACGTACTTAGCGCGGATTGTTTAGCCTGTGATACGACTACGGTCCCAGGTGCATGGACTTTAGTTAGTACATCCTGCTGCGCCTCCGCTGTTATGCAAGAAAGAACCGCCTCCTCGGCGTTATCCTTGGAGATGTGCACAAGCTCGGATACCAACTGCGCCTCTTCCTTCACTCCCTGCAACTGCCCATACCACTGAGTACCACACAAGCGTAGCATCTCCTTTTCTTTACGCAAAGAAAGGCATTCATCTTGTAATTGGCGCAGCTCGTTAGTTTTCATTTGTAATTTACGCCGAAACCTCTCGCAGGATTGCTCAAGGTTTTGAATCTGCAGGGACGCGTGACGGGAGCTCTCAGAGTTTTGCACCACAAGTCCTTCCGCATGTGAGGCAAGACGATTCAAGACTCGTCGCGCTGCCATGGGCCACTGTGCCGTTTCCCCACTAGTTGGAAGGGGGATCATGCTGCCCTCCGTCCCGCCACTAGTGGCAAGCCTGGAGTCTTCGCTTTCGAGTCCCAAGCGACTTTGCATTACCTGCAACCGATGCGTCGATGCAACGTGCTCCATCTCGACTAATCGCTTATCCAGTGCACGTATTTTATCAACAGCGGCCTCTAGTTCACTGGCTAGAAGATCAGCGCGATCCTCTGCCTCGCGCTGTGCGGCGCGGGCTACACCTACCTCGCTAACTATCACGTCAAGCTCCATGGCTTGCTTCCACAAGCTGCCGTTAGGTAGCTTCGATATCACACCGTCCTCGCGCATCCCCAGCCGATCCATGTGTCGCTCGACAATGCTGTTCAGCCGCTTAATTTCATCTTCACACAGAGCTACCTCTCGCTCTTTCGCGTGCAATGTGGCGTTTAGGACCTGAGTGTCGACCACACCCGAATCCTTTTCCTCCATGAGCTTGTGCAACCTCCCAATTTCAAAATTACACTCCTCGACAAGACACTCGAGCTCTTCGACATTTTCTTGGAGAATTTTTCGGTCTTGGATAGCCCTGACAAGGTGCCGAGCCAACGCCTCAGCTTTGGTTTGCTCTCGGAGTCTGGTGGTGTTTTGGTCTCCATCAGCAGAGCCAACTCTCTCTTCTGCCACGCTGTTTAAGTCCAGCTTGCGATTGGTGTCGGTTTGGCTGTGCAGAGAGACGTCATCGCCCTCGGCGTTTTGAACAGAGACTCCCTTACTGGGCGGTACGCCAAACCTCTCTTTGGGCGCCGCGTGCGTGCCTTCATCGACATAACTCCGGTACGAGCGCTGCGGTTTGCTTTGCACCCCATCGCGACTTTCCATGCGTCCCTCATCGGTAGAAGCCCAAACATGTGATGCTGCACCACGTTCCCTCCCTTCTTTTGAGCCTAGATTGTTTGTCGTAGAGAAAAAAGAGGATGGACCTCCACCCAGTGATTCGTCCTGCGCGTCAAGATCAATAGACCGAGAACGAGGCCTACGCTGCGCGTGAGAAGCCTTCACGGTTGAGATGGGCCCAGCTTTACGCCCTACAACGGCATTTTCATTACTATCATAGGGCGGCTGGAGCTTGGGATTGTGTGATGGCTTGGATGCGAAGTGGTTTGAGATCGTATTGGCTGACGAAAAGGCGGGAATCTCGGTCTCAAGCTTTTGGGTGCGAGACGACCACGTGTCACTCCTATTCATAACGTTCTTCCAGAGTTCAATGGGTGCATTCATGCGACTGTCCTTCGTTGGGACTGCAGAGGACCCTGCTAGACTGTGTTGGGTGAAGTTTTGAGGCGCATTATGCGAGGAATACTTACGTTTTTGCTCTTCCCACCGCTTGGAAAAAAAGTTATTCAGCACCCGACCATCGTCACGCATGCAGCTCGAAGTGTAGGAGTGCTGCTCCCAGGGGTCCGCGTATCGCGAAGGAGCAACATTAGCGATATCAGAGTGCCGGTCTTCCGAGTATCGCGTCTCGGGTAACGGCGGGGGTGGTGGCAACCTCGTACGACGTGTTCCGTAACCCTGAGATGGAAAACGTGACGGCATTGACTCGAATAAGCCCTTTGGGTCATTCAAGGACGGCGACACCAGGGGTTTACGGTGGTAGGGGCGAGATGCTAAGTCGTCAGGTTGGGGTGCAGCCCCTTCAGTGAACTCGGGGATAGGCGATTGAAGCAGTCGCCGCGCTACTCGCTCCTCCGGGGCGGGTGGCGGGAGCAAACTAGCCATGGTTCTACGGGAAAATTTGTAGTGGTGGTTCCTCCGTGATGAGGTTAACGGGTATTTGCTAGATTCGAGTCTTTCGGAAGTGTTTCTAGGAGGAAAAAGACCAGAATTGGCACGCCTTGTGATAGTGATGTTCTCAAAAGAAGTCATCGGGGGACCCAAAAAAGGTGTCTGCCCCGTCTGTTTTTCAGACGACAGTAGAGCCCCCTGGGAAGTAGGAGAAACACCCTCGTTATGAATGTTAAGCCGGTTACACTCAGCTTCACTGTCGATAGGCGTTTTTAGGGAACTAATGTCCTCGTGAAGCGGTACGGGTAGATCGACGCTGTGGCGAGGAATATCCATTGGTGTATGCATTAAGGGATATCCATCATGCCTGTAGACCTCTCGAGTATGATGGCTCAGTTCACGAATTGGCTTACCGTTGCTATAGGCCGCTCCAATAGACGAGCCGCGAGCGATGCTGTTTGAATCGCGAAATGATTGAACCTCGCCAGTGAGAAGGTCCTCACGTGGGGTTTGAACCAAGGACGCTGCACCTTTTCCTGACGGGCGAAAATGGATTGTATCGATAGGAAGGTTTGGGGGACATACAGGGTTGGGTGAGTGGGTTTTGTCCTCAGGAGAAGCCGCGGCACCCAAATTCACGTCAATTTTCCCTGAAAGCGGATTGAAAATATTTTCATGCGCTGAAAGTTGCACCTGCTCTTCTTCATTGATTTCCTTTGCGGAGGTATGCATTTCTCCCACACTTTTTAATATTTGAGAACGGAAGCCTTATTTCTTGTAAATCCTTTTAGTCGTGTACTCTATTTTTTTAAATTATGAATCTAGGTTTGAATATTATGTAATGTTACCTTTTTTTATTTTCTGAGATTTTTCTTGAATACTCCTTTCTTTGTTCTTTATATGCATTCAATCAAAGACTTTCGTAACGAACAACACAAAAAAAAAATACGTGGAAAGTAAACCTGCATACACGTGCACCTCATGGGATAGCCAATTTTGGCATATACTTTTTAAATCGCCTATTCTTTCTCCTCGTAAGAAAGTAATCTGATTAACCAGTATTGCAACTTGAAAAATGGAAGAGCAACGTTGAAGTATAAAAGAATGTAGAATTCAAAATATCTTCACTTTATATATTTTTTTAGTTAAAATGCGAGAATCCAGGGTTTTTGATTTCCTTTATCCCATGTTGAAACTCTTAAACACAAATAAAGACGAAACTATTTGAACTAAGATTCATTTATTCACAGATTTGTATGCATTTCATTATTCCATCCTTAGATTTGAAAACCTTGCACTGGTGGTATTAAACTCCTGCACCAAACGCTGCATCAGCTCCTCTACGGAGGGAATGTCTCTACAGTAGGATGCAATCTGACCTATCTCTAGCTCTCCATTCTCGATATCACCGTCAAACATGCCTTTACGTGTGCGGCCTTTACCACGAAATTCTTCCAGCTGCTGCTTCGTGGCGCCCTTCATTGAAATCTCATGGGCCTCCTTGCCATACTTATTAAGCAGAAGACGCGTTGGCATGTATTGCTTCATGGTGAGAACCGTCTCACCTTCGTGAGACTCCGCCGCACGCTTCTTAAAGGCCTCTGAGCAGCTGCTCTCTTTGGTTAGTGCGAAGCGAGTGCCGATCTGCGCGCCTTCTGCACCAAGGGCCATCACAGCACATATGGCATCACCCGACGCGATCCCACCAGCCGCGATGAGTGGTATATCAGGCGAGAGGCTGCGCCGTACCTGTGGGATGAGCGTCATTGTCGTGATCTCCTCCAGACCGTTGTGCCCACCCGCCTCAAAGCCTTCCGCAACGACGGCATCGACACAAGCGGCTTGACACTTCAAGGCAAGTTTGCTGCTGGGGACCACATGAGCGACCTTGATGCCGTGATCTTTAAATGTTTGCGTCCAAACCTTTGGGCTCCCCGCTGAGGTAAAAACGACTGGAATTTTTTCCTCCAGAATGTGCGCTATGTAGACATCGGCGTTATGGGTGAGGGGAAGGTTGACCCCAAAGGGTTTGTTGGTCGCGGCCTTGCACTTCCGCACGTTTTCCTTGAATACATCCAAGCTCATTGAACCAGCACCAATGAGACCAAGTCCTCCCGCATTGCTAACCGCTGAGGCTAAGCGCCATCCGCTGCACCAAACCATCCCAGCCTGGATAATGGGATACTTGATACCAAAGAGCTTCGCTATGCGGTTTTCTTGCATTTTGGCTTCGATAAATCTATATGTATATATAATGTAAAAGTTTTTTAGAAGTGTCTCTAGTTGTGTATTCTTCCGAAAAACACAGCAAGTTGAAAAATGAGTAAACATGAAACTGTATAGAAATTCAATAAACTATGGTCATACCGTCCATTTATGCGCTTCAGTAGTAACAGATTCTTGATCTTCCGTCTATTCCCCCCCCTTTGTTCCTTTCAAAACGATGAGCCTGTGGAATCATTCTTATTGAATAGTACGGAATCGTCGTCATCGGAGGAGTCGCGAAAAATGATGTCTGCCTCCACCATTGGTTCCTGCTGGGTTGCGAGTCGACTCATGATAGACCCTATACCACGTAATTCACCACCGCTATTCACCTTCTCTAGTTCTCGTTTTTCCTGCAGACGAGCCTCGATCACTGCTCGCTGAGACTTCTCTGCCCACCCAATGCCTTTATGTGCGCTATCCTCGTCCCCTTGAATATCCTTTCGAGAAGTTTCTTCCTCTTCTAGGATTTGCTGAAGCACCGCAGATTGCTTACTGGCCTCTTCCGAGTTAGCAGCGTTGTTCCATGCATTGGATACGTTGGAGTCTTCTAGGCTCTCCTTTTTGATCTGTGTAGGCGATCCAGAGGTGTCTGAAGTAGGACTTGATGGCTTCGATGAGGTAGACGAACCCCCAGCGGAAACCCGGCCGCGGATTGGGGGTTGAATCTCGATATTGCCACCTTGGTTTTCTTCAACGGTTTCCCGCGAGATCGATCCGGAGGACGGGTTCCTCGCAGACGCCTCGGAAGCGGAGGTGGTGGACGACGATCGAGACCCGTCTCCGCCGGCCGACTCACGCACAGCCGTCGCCAATTCGTGCGGGGCGTCGGTTCTCTGAGGGGATGGAGTTGACGGCGGCGCCCCAGCCACATCTCCTGGAGTTTTTCCCTCCGAAATCACATTCGCCACGGCGGGTGGAGGTGGGGTGGCGACCGGGGTCTCCCGGCGATCCCCTCGCGAGGGGCCAGCCGCGGCAGTCGTGCCCCACTGCTCCTCAAGCCGCTGTTGTTCTCGTGAGGCTTGTACCATCCACGTTTGCTGCTGCTGCAGGGCATTCCTCTGAAGCTCTTCGGTTCGTACGAGCATGCCGTAAAGATCATCCTGGACGGCGTTCGGCGCCTTTTCGTCGTCTCTGGGATCGCCTCTCGTGCCCCGATCGCTCGCACGGTTTACCAGCATGCGCATACGAAACCGGAGACGTGAGAGCTCTTCGTCTTTTAACCGCAATTCAGCGGCATGATCGGCCTGCATGCGGCGCAAGTCATCTACACGGCGCTGCTCTCGGCTTCGACCCGCCTCTACTTCCATCAACCGCGAACCACTAAGCTCCTCCCATTTCGCAGATTGCAGCTGAGCTACACGTAGTTTCTCGCGCAGCTCCCTCTGCACCGCATCCTGCTCAGTTAGCTGCTCCTCGTAATCATTGACAATGGTACGCATTTCTTTCTGACGTCGCTCAAGATCAAGGCGCTGCCGCTCGATATCTTCACGAGTGCGCTGGAGCCGCTGCCGTTCCTGTTCATACTTGACCAACAGAGATCGCTCCATCTCACGGAGCTCTTCATTTTTATTCTGGATCATCAGTTGATACCGCGCCTCAAGTGTTTCTTTGGCCTCCCGCAGTTTGCTTTCTTCGAAGAGCTTGTGCTTATGCTGGTATTCCCTCCGCAACTGTTCGTGGACGTCGCTCTTGTACGAATTCAAACGGCGCTCGACTTCAGCTCGAGTGAAAAAAGCTGAATCGTTACTACGGCCTAGACGAGAAAAAGCCAATGCGTATTTGGCGTCGACGGCAGCCAGGCGGCATTCCAACGAGGTTGAGGTTTCACCCGAAGAAGGAGCCATCAAGTCGTCTTCCGTCTGCGTGCTGCACTCCAGACGATGGTAAGGGGATTGGGGATTGACCGCCGCGATGCGTTGCATCACCAACCGCTGTAGTACACTAACGCGTGGGATACCATCATCCTCTAGAGATTCTCCTTCATTATTTTTAGAGGGAGAGTTAGATAGGAACAAAAGTTGCTCAAGACGTTCTCGCTCATCAGACGGCGATCCGGTATCGCTTAGAGGTGGCACCTCAACTTCTGTGGAGAAGATTGACAAAGACATATTACGACGTGTGCTACGTAAGTGTTCTTCGATCAGTGTATCGGCTAAGCAGCCCGCCCAGGCAGTAAAAGGCGTGGGGGAAGAAGGGAGACTGTGGTCCGGTTGCTGTGGCAATTCGCCAAGGGTAAGCTCGCATTTCTCATTTCGACGGAGCCTTTCAAAGGTCTCAGGGGATATCACGCCGTCTCGATCAGACGGCGCACGCTGCTGCGCAGCCATTGTCCTATGACGCTTTTCCTGACGCATAAGTTCTGTGAGCAACATGCCACGGACATGTGTTTTGAGGGTCTTCAGGGCACCATTTTTCTTCAGTTGCTGTTGTATTGCGGTACGGAGCTCAGACACGCTTAGTGTGTGCGGTGTACCGGCGGCAAAGCAGGGAGCCGCACCATGTTTCAATGAATTCCCCAAAGTCGCATCATCTGCGGCACTCATATTTTAACCCCCAATACAACTTATTTCTTGCTTACTTTGGTAGCTATGTGCAAAGGGAATAGCAACGCAAATATTCTATGCTGGATCCTCGACTCTTTGTGTGGTCAGTAATTCTAAGATATGATGTAATAACAATCTGTAAAACTATTTAGCACCCTTTTCTTCTCTCTATAGGATACACTGATCCAGTTGCTTTTTGTGCGATACAAAATTCCATACAATTTGAGAGAGAAATAGAAGACAAGGAACAGGAGATAACAAGCGATCGAATAAAATAAAGAACAAAAACTTGATCAGACAAAACGACATTTCAAAAGTGAATTTGAAACGTATTATTGTAGGTTGCTTAGTTTATTTAGTGTCACTGAGTTTTTTTACCCACTACTTTTCTTTTCAGCGCCTCTTCTTTGAAACACGTTTCCTCCTCATCCTCCAACAGACTGACATCACAGGCTTTCACAACGATTGCGTAAAATATGAAGAATACCATAACCATTGAGCGGTACTCAGGTCAGGGATCTCTGAAGGATGCATAGCAAAGTTCCGTGCGAACTCCACATCAGTCCCTTGTGGTTTCCAGTCAAGCTTGCCTATAATGGCCTTCCACTGCAGCCACTGATATCGTAAAAGAGGATCGACAGCAGCGATAATAGTTTGAATTCCATGAGCCTTGGCTTGGGATGAGACCTTGAGATCAAGAGAAGCGCTTGCATCGAGCTTGTCCTGAAGACAAGCATCACGCCACTTTGTCAAACTATCCGTAATCGCACGCCGAAGCTTAGCTTTCTCGAGCAGGCGTGATGGAACTTGGCGAAATATACGGCGGGCGGGGCTGCATGCATCCCAGGTGCAGCTGTTAAACACTGCATGGTAAACGCTATGAATCTGGTTCAAATGGTGCGATGATGCAGGCAATGAAGTCTGGGGGGATTGCAATTTTTGTCGGAGTAGCATTCGCACCCGCGAATGCTCCGCCTGCGAGCCGACCATTTCCTGGGCCCATGCAGATGCCTGCCGCAGAAACTGGGTCGAGGTCTTCTCCTCAGCACGAGCTTTGGAGTAATTACTTTTATTCCCTCCGTCATTCTCCAAAGCTGTGGAGGGAAGAAAGGATTGCATCAAAACCAAAATGATATCTTTAGACTCGACTGTGGTTTCAAAAGAGGCGGCACCGTAGCTGAGCAGTACATCTACCAGTCCTTTTATGGCTTCTCTATCCTCTTCTACTGAAGAAGATGTTTGCTCCTCTTCCCGACGAGCTCGCTTTAGCGAGGGAATATTACCATAATTAGTCCGATCACCTGACACCGGTGCTTCCGTGTTGATCTCAGCTTTACCTACTGAGGGCGAGCACAAAGCTTCCTGAGTCCAAAACGCTTCCAAAATGCCGGGCCGAAGGTTGCCAGCCGCCCTCCAGAGAGTGCTCTCATGGCCAGCTGCGGCGCTTCCAGGTGGTGTGTGAACCCGTCGCGTCCCAGCCACCGCCATCGTGCCCTCCAATTCACAAGAAGAGCTCCTGCAGCACAAGAAGCAGTCCAGCATAAGAACTTGTAAGAAAAAATCCGCACGTTTCCAGCGTACCACTTTGTTGACGCTGTGGTCTGATATGTTCGACCTGAGGTTACTGTCGACATAACCAACTCCACTGCTTCTAGAGGTCATGAAGGATGGTACCACAAGCGTGGCAGGGGCCCCAGCGGGGTGCCGCTGCGAGGGCTCACCACTGCTACCTAGCGCGATATTAAAGTTAGCGCCGAATTGGTGCGCGACCGCGGCGAACACTGAGTAGGGAAGTGCTGAGGAAGCGATACATCGGCTCGCGGCGCTAGTATCGTTATTTCCATTCGAAGAGGCAGTGCTTATGGATTCGTAGTACGCAGTCGCCACCGCTGGCATCCACTCCAAGGGGTAAAATTGATAGCCTATCCTGTTGATCAGATGCTCCACCTCCTTTGTGAAGCACAGGCCGAAGGCGGATGTGACGCTGGCCAAGTTGTTACCGTCCCCGTCATTGATATGAAACCGAGAGGTGCCGTTGGTACTAGCAGGGATGATAATGGATGACGTAAACGAGGCGTAGTTCCGGCAGCACGCGGAGGACAGCTTGTCGAAGAGCGGGGCCAAGGTCCGCATGAGGCTCTGCACCTGACTGGGCACACGGAGTTGGGTGTAGCTCACGACCGAGGCCAACAGTACCTCCGCACGGTACCGCGCCTCCAACTCCTCCACACGTTCTACCGAGAGAAGGGCCCGCGCCCCCCGCCCGTCCCCCGCGTTGTCACAGCCCTCCTGGGAAGGGGAGGGCGGGGCAAGGGCGCGGAGACGGACGACCATCGGTAGGGTCCGCGTGGCCTGGGACAGCACCCGCTCCACCTCCCCCACCCGCACCCCGCCCAGCCCTGAGAGGCGAAGGTACCCCACCACAGCCCCGCCCGCCTCGGCGTAGTACGGAGGCATGGGAAAGAGCTCCGGAGGGGAAGAGGAGAGGCTCCCTTCGCCAGCGACCTCACCGATTCCCGTCGAGGCACAGGGAGAGAGGTCTAACGCGTCCAACAGGCGATGATAACTCCTAGGCAGGACATACTGCAGACGCTTAGGGTACGTGCGCTGCGCGACACGCATGAGGACGGTGTCGATCAGCTGACAGCTTCTCCAAGCAATGAATGGGAAGGGGGGGGCCTGCTGCTGCTTGTCGAGCATGCGGCACTGACGAAGCAGCTCGGACCACGGCCACTCCCAACCTAGTTGCTGCAATAACGCCGGAAACAGCCCCTCACAGAGAGCGTCTGCCTCGCCGAGTGTCAGGGCACGTCGCGTTACAACCATCCAGCCATCTTCGACCGCTCGAAGAGAAGGGGTCTTTCGAAGCCCTTTTTTCGGGTGGACCAATTTCTTTGCATGTGGGGGCAGTGGCTTCGCCGCTGTGGGTAATGTTGGGCGGTTGGGCATCTGCAGCGTTCCTGCACCGAGAACGACTGCAAAGAGCAACTCTTGAATCTCGTGAACTATCTCCTTCGCCGCCATGATGGGCTCGGAGACGCGAGTTGATAGCGACGATGCTCCTGAATCAGGGTCGTGCTCGGGAACGCCTTCAGCACCTAAAGCACATCGTGTCGTGGTCCATTCCACGGTTCGCTGGATTAGTTGCATCAAAAGAATTACGGCTGATTGAAGCACACCTAAGGATTTTCCGGGTTCAGGAGAAATCCCTTCTAGCGAGGACATCTCATAGGAATCGTTTCCGTTTTCCTCCATAAGTAGATCAACAGCACGACGTACAGTAATGACATCAGCATCCTGAAGCCGTAACGTGAACTCTAGCACCCCCGCGACTACCCCGCGAAGGCGCGTGAGTGTCAATACACGCCAAAAATCATCATCAAAATGTTCTGAACAAGTTGTTATCGTCGAACTTGTGGGACAGGTGATGCTCAGGAGTCGTGTTTTCATTGAGGGACAGTCCTGAAAGATGTAAGCCGTGAGCAACACTGCCAGCGGTCGAACAGCAGTGTAACTAGAGGAGACACAAAGTGCGCCGTATAGCATAGAGGCGTGGAAAATACGTTTTAGCCATGATTGTTCTTGAAATGGAACCCCAGCGTCTGAGCCAGGTGTCTTCACGGAGGAAGAAACATCCCCCTCGATAGAGGTCAGCTCAAATAAAAGAGGGACTGCTTCAATATGATTCATTTCTTTGTTGACCCGCGTACTAACTTCCTCCTTACAGATGATAGCGTGTGCAATTTGCGAGAACCACCCATAAAGCTCATCTGCGCATTCAGCTGATGGAATTGGGCGCTGCTGTTGATGCATATCCAAAGCTGCCTGAAGGACAGTTTGAAGAGGAGTAAGATTGATTTCAGGCTCACCCTCTTCTTGTCTTAAAGGGACAGGCTGAGGACCACCTTTTGACATTGCGTATTCGGTAGCGCACACAAAGAAGTATCGCTGAAAAGACATGCCAAGTTTGTGTATTTTGTTGAAATCAACGTTTAATCCATTCTCCATGTTATTATCACTTCTTAGACCTACATTGGATAGGACCTGGCTTGCCAAATCTGAAGAGGGGTTATTCATGTTCCCCAAATCCGATGCAAGGGCGTTTTCTAATTGAACAAGTACCTTGCGAGCGCCACAATACCCGACTGCCTCCAGCAGTCGAAGGACTCCCTTGCTCTCCATCCGCACACCTTCTTCCTCACTTGTTTGATTCTTGCTAGGTAACGAGTTTTGACGAGAGTCAGGAGAATTTTGTGGTGCCGTAGATTCAATCGAGGGGAAGAAAAGTCCATGCCATAAGGAAACGACCAGCAAATGATTTTCCTTGCTAGTCAAATCCCTAGAGGGACAGTGACAGGGATCCCTTACTTTAGGAGTGAGACCATTCTTCCGTGCCGAGGGGTTCATAAGCACCTCCGTACTCAGACGTGAATTTTTGTGATGAGAAACAAGTTTATTGAGTGTGTTGTCGTCAAGAGGAATTATTTACAAGTATAATCTCTCTGTAGTCGATACCTTCTCTTGAATAAAATAAGATGCAATTTAATATGAATAGAACGGAAGGAATAGACCATGAGAAGTTACACACAAGAAGAATACAAACACTAACCAATTCAATCAAATTCAGGATCCAAGATCGCTATAATAGACAAATTACACGTCGTTTCATAGCCTCTTACTTCTGCCTTAGACATTTGCAGAAAAAGAGATTTCTATTATACCCGAAAAACTTTGAAAAAATATATAGTATAGCAAATATGTATAAGGAGTTGCAATAAAACGAAAAAAACTACCTAAGAGTGCCTTTTCTGATTTAGTTTACCCTAAATTCCAAAATGGATACATTTTGGTTTCCCTAATTTAGTTTTTGTATTTGCTAATTTAAATAGTCTAAATCATTGCTAATAAAAAAATAGATTTTCGCATATATTTTATTATATACATTTACTCAACAAGCAAAAAAATATTTCATTGGGAAAATATTCGTTAAAGCAAAGTGATCCTATCGGTAATATTTTCATAAAAACAAAAGGCAGCTACTCATCACTAATAAGCAAATCTTGGCAATTGTGATATAAATCTTTTTCATCTTCAATACAGTATTTTTCCGTTTCTCTATACAGGTAGAGGAACATGCATACTTAATACCTCTTTTGGATGTAAATTAGAGATATTAAAGTATGCATTTGTTTGAAAACCAAAGAGGGTGGTGTCATTTTGTTTAAGGATAAACCCCAAAGGACGTTGGAATTGTTTTATGAAACACACTCAGCCGGGTCTCTAACCGATTATTTATTTCCAATGATGGACCCATTTTGACCTTGTCTTGGCGACGGCTAGACTAGGTATCTTGCTCCTTCGTCTCTTTCTCCTCTTCTTTCTCTGTCCCTAGCATCTTGGTCATCTTTTTGAGGAGCTCCATTTCCTTCTGATGAGCGTAACGCTCCTCTGGAACATTGATATTCTTATCTATCTCAGCCTCCACCCAATGACCATCATCATCAATGAGCAGCTTTTGTTGAATTCTTTTGTTTACGTATTTGTCGGAGGAAAGACGTCGTGAGACATACAAACCTACAACGCCATGTTCCATCTTGTTTAACCGACGAAACATAACAAGTCGCTTCATGGCAATGTAAGCAAGAAAAAATGTCACTAACACTAATACAAAATCTTCACACTTGCTGTGAGTAAAAGTATGTAGTAATGTAAATATATATATATATATATATATATAATATTAATGTATTGCTCAACAGCCTTTCTCGGTCTCTTTTAGGTATAGTGAAACGAGATTAGGTTCGATGCAAGAATAGGAGTAAAAATG